ACCGCTTATATAGAGCTTAAGTTTTAAACAAAATAGTTTAGTAGGTATTTTAGCTTTATCAAGTTTAAAAAAAAAAACATCAGTAGACGTTTTATATTGCAATACTCAATGTTAGTAGACATACAGTCTTAGTCGTAAATTAAACATCTAATTAATTGTATTTTCATATTTTTCACCCTCTCCTAAAGGATTCATACATAATAATTATAGGCTGGAATCTATAACATTTATAGCCTTTTATTTTTCAAAAAACACAAAAATCGTTACATAATCAAACAATATAGACATTATACAATTATAACTAAAAACAGTCAAGCTTAAAACAGGTAAGTTCCGTTTTGAAACTCACCTTGGGAGGACTGCAGAGAGTCAAATACTACAAGAACTTTTTTTTTCGGGGGGGGGGGGGACACTTAAATTTTTTCTAAGGGGGGGGGGGCTATGTCGTAAAGTACAAAGTAGACTCGTGGACTTAGCAACAATTTCAATAAAATGTGATTACGCTTGCAAACTGAAACTAAAAGGAATTAGTACAAACTTTTGCGACGAAAGAGGCAGGAAAAATTTGATTTTGATGTCTACATTTAATGTTTATGCAATTGATAATTAATGAATATGTCACTTTTCAATGAATTATTTTCTTATACATGTTTTAGTAATTAATTTGTGTGAAAGGGGGCTTTTTAATAAGTTTTGCCTAGGGCGCTAAATAACCTGGCGCCGGCACTGGCGGTGGGCTTGCTCCGGAAAGGTGGGGGTTGCAGAGGCGTAGCGATGGGGGGCAGGGGGGGGGAATATGTCCCCGGGCGCCGACCTTAGGGGGCGCCAAAATGGGTTGTAAAAACAAATTAAAATGTCATTTTAGCTGCATTTTTGCAGTTTGAGGGGGGGGGGTTGCAAATAGAAAGTTTGAGGGGGGGGGGGGGGTGCAAATCGAAAAGTTGAGGGGGGTGCAAATTAAAAATTTGCTCCCGAGGGGGCCGCCAAATTGAAAGTGTGTCCCCGGGCGCCGGAAGGGTCGCTACGCCTCTGGGGGGGGGGGGGGGGGGGTTGTATATTCTCCTCGAAGAAATGCATGAAAGAAACATTACCTGGGGTTAGAGTGGAGAGACAGGCAATGGTCAGTGTCCCTAAGCGCTAAGTTAGACGATAGCACTTGAGTCTAAAGATTACTGGTCGTTATGCTAATGTAAACAACGCTAATAAAATTGATGAAAGCCGGCTGGGCAATGCGGTATCGTATCGATTGATGTTAGTGAGAATCGCAGTTTAGATTAGGGATGAGCAGAGTTTCTCCAATCACTCCCCATCCCCTCCAGGAGAAAAATGTCAGAAACAAAACCTGATCAGTTTCTCTCCCCCTTCCCCCCCCCCCCCCCCCCCCCCGATGAAAGTCTACCGCCCCCGAACGAAATGGAAGTTATATAGAAAACATATACTTTTACCAGTAGCCGCCCCCCCCCCCCCCGGAAAATTCCCCCCCCCCCCTCCCGGAGAAAAATGTCTGGACAAACACTGACCCTGATGATAAATTCCGACAGGTTCCTGAATAACACTTGGTGTTATGGTCTAGGTAGCGATAGTATCATTGCGGTCACAGCATTTGGTTAAACGAGATGGAGTTCTATTAGTCCAACGAATTAGTCTGCTTTCAATGAATATTTACGGCAGGCTCTAACAATCTAGCGTTTCTTCCAGGCATCTCTTTGAGGGGGAGGGGAGGAAGGCCTCCCCGAAAAAAAGTCTACCGCCCATCCTCCCCACCTCCCTCCCGAACGAAATTTTATAGAGAAAAAATATACTTATAACAGTGTCCCCCCCCCCCCTCCGAAATTTTTTATCCCCCCCCCCCCCCACCCCAAAATTTTCAAGCGCTTCCCCCCCCCCCCCCCCCTTTCCCAAGGAAGAAACAAAGTCTACCACTACCTAGTACAGTTACTTATTTATAACGTCAGCTGCTTGCCGGTAGCAACGCCATTTGTCCCTGGAGGATGAGCGGCATCGATACCGCATCCAGCGAAATCGCTCGGCGATATCAATGGTTGCTTAGGGAGGTCTTCATGTCTTCCGGCGTCGCCTGGTATCCCGGGGTAATTGAATCTTTTGGTGGACAAGAGCTACTTCCCTTTGTGCAGCCATAATAATGGATGAATGCCCGAGTCAACATATCAGGTTCTATTGTAAAGAATGTAAATCAATACGGTACGGCTATCGTGTTTCATAGGGGGTTGTGTAGCACATCAATGGGGTCAATCATAGCAGGCGTAAAGAGAAAAAAAATCTCGACTCAAATTATTTACTGGGTTTCTTTCAGACATTTTTTTCCAGGAATGGGGGGGGGGGGGCACACTGGTTGAATTATATATTATAATAATTATATAATATATATGTAATATATATATATATATATATATTCATAGGTAGGACAGTGGACGTGCCCTTGCCCCCACCCCAGGGAAGATGCTTGAAACACTTTTAACAGTGCACTGCATCATTTTTTTAAAAAACTCCACAATCCACCACTCCCCCCCCCCCCCCCTACACACTTTCCCCGGACAAACTAGAAAAGACGTGTAGAAAAAATATATTCTTTAACCTATGTCTTCCCCCCCCCCCCCCTGCCCACTTCTGTACTTTGTAGTCTGTTGAAAATACAAATTTTCTCCAGGGGTGGAGCCCTTCAAAGAGATTCTTGTAAGAAACACAGAGTACATTAATAAAGAGTGACTAAACAAAAATGTGCTAGGAATATAAATGGGAAGCTACTCCAACTAAATTTTTCTACAAGCTGACATGAAAAGAGGAAGTAACTCAAGTAATTGCTTCACATTCAGTTAAAAACTAAAGAAATTACTGGTTTTAAATTTATAATGCAGAGAGTTGTATTTAATAAATAAGACTACACTTTTTAACCAAGAAAGCCACCCAAATCCTCAGGTGGGAGGTGGCAACAGGCAATGGAGTTAGTTTTTTGGAATGGGTGATGGTATGGTAGTGTTACGATAAGTACTTTATTCTAAAGAACTTTTTAATACACAGATAAATTGTTTTATGTCATGAAATAAATGACAATATACCAATGCATTTTGGGAAGTTAAGGGACATAACTCCAACATAAAAGGAGGTAACAATTAAATAGACATTTAGTGTAACACTTACAATAACCACGCAGACCATAAAGTATAATAAAAAAAAAAACGTTTTTAATCACAACTTTTATTATTCAATCAGAGCGGTGCTAGCAATACAATGTAATTAACTCATCACTGACGGCAGATGAGGTCACCACCCCGAGGTCAGTGAACAACAAGTTGATGTACTCTGGAGGGGTGTAGTCCACTATTGGATGCTCTTTGCTTAGGTCTTTCGAGTTTTGCCTAGTTGATGCTCGGAACTAAATTTGAAAATAAAAAACTAAATTTTAAAAAAATTTACAGAGGGTGTATTGAATGTATTTTTCTCAGTAACATTAATATTATTCTTAACAGCAATGTTAGAAAACATAACTTGATGCAATACTATATTGCTCTAATAGCATTTTTATAAGAGCCAAAAAGTCGACTTCTATATACTATTTGGCAGAGTTCAGTTTCTTTGACTCTGTTTATGAAGAATTGTGTATCCTGTACTACGCCGAGCTTTACATGATTCAAGACATGTACCATCATAGCTGGCTGAACTCCACCTAGAAATCTATCTGACTTCTAGGATACTAATCATGCGCTATAACTCAACCACACCATCCCGTTTGATTTCATCCATCTAGATAGCACTAAACAGATGAGCTAAAACATCACTGAAACAGCCAATAGCCAACCACTTACCCTAAACTAGTCAACCACGTACCTTGAACTAGTCAACCACTTACCTTAAACTAGTCAACCACTCACCCTAAACTGGTCAACCACGTACCTTAAACTGGTCAGGCACATCCATCTGATTGAGTGGGTACTCTCTGACGAACTTAAAACTTTCAGTGACGACATAAAATGGTTTATTCATCTGCCTTGCACAAATAGCAATAGGATATGTACCAATCTGGGAGGAAGAAGAAAACAATATCAGCATACAGTATTGTGGGAGCTAATGGTTAAAAAAAAAATAATTTCTGTTTAAGTTTAAATATATTTTCTGTTTTGTCTGGGAAAAAAAGAGATGCCTGAAAATTTTTTTTTTTTTTTAATTTGGTGTCACCCCCTAAATGTGTGTCACAAGGTGCTGACCACCCCCACCCCCCTAGTGACTCTTCTGGGTACATCACCAAACATAGGAATATTATTCAATGCTCTTGGGTTAGCCAATTCCATCTCATGAACATATAAGAGACAGAACAGTTTTGGTTTTAGAGAAAGAAAATGTCTACCTTGTTGATGATTCCCCCACTTTCCATCACCCCCTCAGCTCCTACCATCACCAGCTGGACCTTCTCCATTACATAACTGCAACAACAGTATTTATGAACAATTATTTAAAAGAAAGGGCCATGTTATTTTTCTACAGGAGTTGCTCAATGTAAACAGGGCAACAAACCAGGAAAGACAACTCACAAATAAAGAAAGATAACTCACCCTATACCAAAATCTAGAATCACACTAGTTGGGATTCCAAGTTTTGAAAGCTCTTTTTCCATTTGGTAACTGCAATAAATTAACATTGTTATAAGATCAATCAGCCGGTACTATATCATTTCAATTTAACAGTTTTTTGTTTTTTAACTAAAGGTTCATATGAAAATAGTTTTGTTAAGTTCTGCTCTACACAAATAAAACTGGAATACATTTGTGGGCACTCAAACACATTTTCTACTTGGCAAGTGGGTTTAAATCTTTAACACACAAAGTCCATTTAGCTATGACCCTTGAAAACATGGAAGGTGAACTGTGCATCAATAAGTACAACTGACTGCTTTATAAATAAATCTGTAACATTGTAACATACTTTTTGGAAAAAACTATGTCAAATGAATGATTGTGCCAATTATAGAAGCAAACACTAGTTCGGTGATAAAAATTGGAATGGAAATAAGCAAAAAAATGCTAATAAGCTACACTATACAGGGGTTGAGAAAAAGAAGGATAAAAATGACATGTAAATGATAATTTGGTAAAGAGATAAAAATGCTGGAATCATATGTTCTGAAGTGAAGAGGATTTCAACAAAATAAGTTTGCTATAAACTTTGTTCACAGCTCTTCAGCCCATGGGAGAGAAAAGGAAGGAACAACAAGTCCAGCAAATGTTGCATAGATTAGAACCTAAGGTGTACTCACCCACTTTTGTCAGGGTTGGACTCCGTCACGTACACTGTGAATCTTTTTTTCTGACTAGCTGCGGCTTTCAGCACTTCTAATACATTACGAGAACGACAGTGGGTCAGGATTGTCTGGTTTTAAAAATATACCGTTAAGCATGAGCTGTATATCTTAATTAATTTATTACTTTTTACAACTATTAAGTAACAGACAATGTTAAAAAATTTTATTAATTAGAGTTGGAATAAATTGACATCATGGCCTATCCCTGAATACTGTATAATAAAAAAAGTGCTATTATTTTTAAAATCTAAAATGGCTTATTCCTTTTCACGTCACAATAAAACTAATTTCTTTTTAGTTTCCAGTTTTTCTTCTTCTGTAAAATGAATAAATTTGGCTTCCTTGTTCTTAATAAAAACCATATTCAGTATTGTTGAAGTTTGATGTAAATTTGATATATTTGGAACACAAAAATTTCTAAAATAAAATATGTTTACAGTAACCATCATTTAAGAAATAAGCCCCCCCCCCCCCCAGCAACCAGTGAACCTCACAGTAACCAGTGACCCAGCTTGTAACCAGTGAACCAATCAACTTACTGCTCCGTCCTCTATAAATGCTGAAGCCAGTTTGGCTATCTTCGCTCTGGCTTTTATCATGTTATTGTAAAACTCTTTTCCCCTCTCCAACATATTTTCTTGGAAGTTCTGAAACATAACAAAGTATTGTACATGTACTAATAAGACTACCTGTATCTATGGCCAAAATGTACATATATGTATACATATTCATACACATGAATATAATTATATAAATATATATACATATTTACATATGTACAAACATATATATTCTTGATGGAAAAGGTAAGCATAAGACTGTTAAAAATGCATGTAAAATGTAAACTTGTGATACCTACCGTGTCTAAATTTGTCAATGATGTGTATCTTAAAAACTGTTCTGAACTTGAGTGGATAGAAGCGTAGCTATAGTCTGTTGTCTGCATAACAGTAATGGCATCTTTGATTGCACTCCGAAGCTCTGATAAAGTTTTAGCTGAAAAATACAAAAATATCCCTAGAATAATTATTAAACATCCTAACCACTTACCTATACAGTTTGAGTAGCTTAAAGCTATTCATTAATCACAAACCTAACCCATCACTGATAAAGATTAGGTTTGAGGTTTAAGTATTAATAGTATCAAAGCTACATGTTTGAATATGTAGGTCTGGCTAATCAACACGTACTAAAAATTACAAGATCAGTTGTAAAAATGTTACCTTTTATACATTCCATAAGCCTGACTAGGGTGGAGATTGCTGCTACAGCTGAAGACATTTCCGGTTTCTCTCTCATCAGCTTGGTAAAATGATTTAAAACCTCTGTGGAGAAAAAAGTTACCAGTATGAGTTTCAATATTTAGGTAATCAAAAAACTTAGGCCTAATGCATGATGAAAAGATGAATATGATAATTGATAATATAATGTTTTAAATCAAAATTCCATTTATAAATAGATCTATTAATAAATAAGACAACCAAAGTAGTCAGTTTCATGCATGAATAAAAAGAAAAGTATCTAAGAGAAGCAATAAAATTAATACTTTAAAAGTTAATTTTTGTCTTTATTAATATTAGAAATCTAGTTATTTTGAGCTACAACACATTAAAACAAAAATAAATGATATTATAATAAACTTAATAATATTATAATATTAGACCTAGGCCCTAATATATTAATAAATTAAGTAAGTAAGACTTAAGCAGAAGCCCCACTTAATGCACTTATTAATTAAGCCAAACTAAGTGAAGTCTAAAGTCAAAGCTATGCCTCAGCTAACATTACAATTACAAGTGCTTGTAAAAGATACAAAGTTTAAAATTAGTGACTGTTGACCAGCACAAAAGCTAGGCATTTTGGTAAAAATGTTTCTATTTAACACAGAATGATAAAATTTACATAGAATCAAGAAGAGAATCTGCCATTTAATAAACTACAAAAATTATCATTCTAGGCCCAGTATTTTTTTTTATATGAATTTTTAAAGTGTTAGGTAAAACAGCTTATATGTTCAAGTAAAGTTGCAAAATATTTAGTGTCCTTCTTTGAGTTTGTATAACATTGTTGTTATTAAACATATAATGTTAAAAATGTTCATACTGATGCTAGAGAGTATAGACAACAGGAATATGCAAGTGAAATAAAGATCAATTTAAAGGAAAAGAATTTATAATTAACTTAATTAAGCCCAATTAAGGTGTGTGGTGCAGTTCTACAATGATTGTCGCAAGTCACTTTTCATACTGCATATCTATGTTGTTATTGATGATATAAAGATAAAACATAGCACATTGATGCTTAAGGATGTTGGAAATAGAAACTTACAAGTTTAATACATGCAGGAAGAAAAAGACAATCACATATAATGAAGTCTAACTAAGGGGGTGGGACTGAAATTTTGCATCAATAATACCTGGGTATTATACTCATACTGAAATATGATATGTTTAGGATTATGTTGAAGTATCTAATTATTAGTAGCATTAGTTGTAGGCTACTTTTAATAAGTAGCCAAGGATTGCTAATCAATAAATAGTGTAACAGAAACAAGACGAGATGTGTGGCAACCAAAGGATAGACAGCTGCCTTATTTGGCAATATTTGCTGATCTGAACCTACTAGATTCTATATAAAAAACATTACTGTTATTTAGTTTGTTATTTTTAAGTAAAATTAAATCACATTGTTGAAAGTGTTACTGTTTCTGTTTTCTTTTTGACTTTTAAAAAAAAATGTATTACTATTGCTTTAGACTTTAGATCACATTGTTAAAGTGTTAAATGTTCCTATTTTATCTTTGACTTTTTTTTTTAAATTTCCATTGCCTCTATACTGTAGTACTATACTTTAACTATTATTTCTAGACTATTTGATATTTTTTTTACTCATTGGTTAGGCTATAAATATAGACTACTAATAAAAAGTTTAAAATTTAAATGGAATTTGTTTAGACTGGAGAGCAATATTTATTTAGATCTAGAGGAATCTAGGACCTATTTAAAATTTTAATTATTATTTACCCTATTGAGTCTATTAATGAATGGGACTATTAATTCCAATGCTTTAAATTTTATTTAATCCATAAAAAAGCTATTTTATAAGCTTAGATCTTGCCAATTCAATAAACACTGTTAAATAGCAATAATGTGCGAATTTTTTATTTCATGCCTATGGGCCGTCATGAAAATTCTAACTCGGCCGCCATTATTAAAATTGCGTAGATCTATATCACTTCACGCAAGGAGCAATATCTCATATATAAGGAGCTCTAAAGCCCATAAAATCAACATTTCCATCCATCAAAATGGTTTGCATTTACTTATTTACTAGTTTCCTGTACTTATTCTCTTTTTTTAAAGCCAAAATTTAGTTCTGAAAGTAGCGGTTCGGTACTGCGCGGTTTCGATCGATTTTCGCTATCATCGTTAGGTCGCTTTCAGTATCGAGTATTGTAAAATGACAGCTACTTCTATCAATGAAACATTTAAATGATAAAATTCAACGCATATGATAGTATCGAATATATTTAATTTTTCGATTCTGATGCCTAGAATTAGCATTCATCGGAACGGCGAATTTTTTCAAGTACGCTTGAAAAAGTCCGGATGTAGTTTGGATCGCAAGATGGCGGCGAATCGAAAAGCCTAACAAAAGCACAAAGCTAGACACCACTGTCACTCCACTGATTTATTATTTTATTTATTTAACTGATTAGCAGTAACAGTAACTGTATGAATGAATGAAGTATGGTAGGGTAGTCAACTCAACTAGTTAGTAGGGCCTAGTAGATCTAGTTAGTTTTTAATTTAATAATTTAATTAATAATTAATTTTTGAAACTTGACAAAGTTGAAAAGGGAATTTCAATGAATTTAGGAACAAAACGGGGTAATCTATCGTTTTGGGTACGTAAAATCGCCCGCGATTTGTAATGTGAAAAACAGGTGACTCCTTAAATTTTAATAATTATTTCACATTTTGAGGAGGATTTATGTTTTAAAAAATTCAAAAATGTTTCCTTGATTCATTTATGTACCTGTTTTTAAAGAATTGAATTAAAACTTTTCCGTAATAAATGAAGACTAGCGATGTTTCCAACAGATGCAACCATGCTCATTTACTATAGCAGCCATCTTGTCTAAGTTTTATTTTTATAAGCTTTTAGCGCCAGATTCAGGGGGAAGCCACTCTATTTTACAAATGGCTGCTGTTTATATATATAGCAAATCTTGCTCTCAGACACTGCTGTTTAAAGTTAATTTCTGGCCTATATCGATATATTTAGCCATTGATTTAGGTTTATTATTCATTTATCTATAATATTTGACACAAAAGTATGACAATATACTTCTATTAAAGCCTTGACAATGAGGTAACGTTTTCGTACATAAATAGCCGCGGACGATTTTACGTACCCAAAACGATAGATTACCCAAAACGGCTTATGCATAAACTTAAAAGTAAGCAAAGTTATCAACTTTCATACCCTCTTTATTCATTTTAAACTATAAAAAGTATACGCCTAGACTCTAGTTTCTTAATATCTTCAAATGTGTTTCTAAATTCCAGTCATTTCTCAAGAAACATAAGTGGAAAATATTGCGTTTGTTGTCGGAAGTGTAGCTTTTTTGTACTTTACCACCAAAAGAATATCGCCTTGGATTGAACGGAAAGAGGAGGTCGGTGAATAGTGAAAAGAGGTTAAATGTAAAGCTCAATTTCGTACTGCTAACTACAACAACGTAAAAATGGATAAATCCTACAGCGATAGGCGAAATGACATTTTCCCGTTCTTTTTCTGGGGTGGTGGGGGGGGGGGGGGGATTAGTTTGAATTGTGTGACGAATTAAAAGCGTGACCGGTCTAAGTGTGATGGGGGGAGGGGGGGGGGGGGGAACCGTCTAAAACAGTGTGGCTTTATTATGGATGACTCCTACCCTACCTAAAAAATCTTCCTCACCCTTTTGTGACGACCTTTTTAAACAGAAAACAACACTTTTTGAACATGTTTCAGGGCGTAATTTGAATAGACGCTACTTTAAAATTAGCCTGCATATTCTAAAGGCGCTGCATTACATTATAGGCCTAACTATCGACACCCCCATCGCCACAAGCCCCGCCACAATGATGGCTCAATACAACTGTATCAAAATAATTAATATCGTTTAGTATACAGCCCACAACAATAACTGCCTAGTTCAGAAGAGAACCGGGTATAGTGTTGACCTCACTATCCCTTCTTATGCTGAGGTCGCAGAAACGGATGAACTCTACTTCACTTGCGTCATGGACCATCAGGTTCGATAAGGGAGCTTTACTTTTACAGAAACGATTCAATAGTTTTAGACATACATTATCAACATCTATAAGTCTCGCATTTGATACAACTATATATATATATATATATATATATATATATATATATATATATATATATATATATAGGCCTATATATATATATATATATATATATATATATATATTGTTTCCATAAAACTGTATAGTTCAGAGCTGAACTAAGCGAAAGAAAACAGTTGCTTATTCAGGGATTTTTGTTCTGATAAAAGGTATTATTAAAGCAGTTGTTGCTAAATCTAAACGTGAGCTCAAAATGTCAGCGGTGGATATGTATAAGTTAATAATTGTGGTTTAACATTGCAACAAAAGTATAGAGCACACAATATTTCATCCAAGTTGAGTAGGCCTACTTATAAAATCAACACCAGGCCTACCATTGATCTATCTTAATAGCTTATTCATATCGAGTCTTTTGTTGACAAATAAATTTATTCATTTGTAGTTTTGTGTCGATAAATGACGAGGGAGAGGTCAAGAAAATGGGATGGCACACTTTTTGCATTGTAAAAAATAATGTAAGAAACTTAATTTCAGTAATAGAAACTGATTAATATAGTTTACTCAAAACATCACTGTTTTAAATAACAAAAACTGCCATTTGATTGGGGGGGGGGATGTGCTGGCTTATTGTGCGTACGGAGTAAAAACGGTCGTTGACAAAACGGCACAACGAAAGAGTCCGTCAAAACGGCCAGCGACAATTGGACCCCGTCACATAGGCTCCCGTCAAAACAGCTCCGTAATTATGACTCCCGACATAAGGACTCCAGTCATCACAACTCCTGATAATACAGCTCCTATAGAGACAATAAGTCTCCCGGCGAAAAAGCCTCTCTCCCTCCTTCATTAGTGCTCTTCAGGGTTAGCTTTAATATCCAAAGAATAGCCTTAAATACATATATGTGTATAACTCTTGGTCATAGACTTTATTTTAACATTACTTGACCTAGTATAAGAAATTGTACGTTTTTACATTTAAGGGTCATGTAGTTATGACATCTCTAAAAAGTTTCGGCTCAGAGACGGTGCTTGCTTTGTTAGATATTGTGTTCATGACACCATTTTGAAGTAGGCTACCGACTATAAGGTGCAAATCTTGTTACCGTTTTCTTTTCCTTTAACTTTTCTTCGTAGTTTATTAAAAAAAATTTAAAGTTAAAAGTGCAGTGTCTATCTCTTCTTAACAGTGTGAGGATTTGTAGTCCAAATTAAAAAACAAAACATCAAGCTCTTTTACATACATAATAGCCATGATAGGATTTAGACTTGATAAGGTCCTATAAGCTATTTTTTATATGGGGCTCTTTATACTATACGTCACTACCAAATATTTGCCATACAGCGGATAATTGCCAACTCCAAAAGTCCCAGGACCTCTGAGGCTCGTTAGCTGGTGACAGCAACCCATCTAGGACAGAAAGCTCCAAAATCAAACTGTTATAATTGAATTGTGTTGGAGGTAATTGCCTTCAATATTATAACTAAGATAGAATAATAGAACATTACTTTCCAAGCCAGCAGTAAAAATAAAATAAGCTTAGCCCAAAACAAGTTCTTTACCAAACACAAGACATGTTTTAAATAATACATCCATGCAAATGCAACACATTTATTCTTAAAAAACATCAAATTTATTTCGTATGAGTGTGCAACAAAATAGTAACAATGTATAAAAATATTTACAATAACATTACTAAGTGCTCTTCATTATATACATTTAATAGTACAGAAATAAATAAACTTTTAAGTTGGTTTATTCAATTGTTTTCTTAAATTTAAAAAATCAATAACATTCAACATGTTAAAAATATTAGCCTTGAATTTTTAATGAAAAAATTACAGTTGGTCTATAATTTATGGAAATAACATACTTTTATAAAAAGTAAGATATAAACTATTAATGCAGGATGACAAATGGAAGTAAAGTATTGAGCACTAGAGCTTATGGCACCCACTCAAGGGCTCCAGGTTCAACCCTAAGATCTAGTGTAAGTCTTATTTTTATAATAGGGAGCTTGCAGGGCTGGTGGAGATAGTTCTAATGCTGCTCACTGCACAGCTGAATGCTGCCCAAACAAGCTCCCAGTTGACAGTGGTCCTCCAAATTTTTTTTTTTATACAATATTACTAGCCGTGAAGGAATACTATTTAACACTTTAACACCATTTTTTAAAATACCAAAAAAAAACATTAAAAAAAAACCCAAAGATGTTTACAAATTAATACCAGTTCAAAATAACCAAATAAATGGATTGCTGCACTGACTTTTAGGGTTGTAAAGAGACTTTACTATTTTAACTGTACTTTCTTCCACAGCAAGTAGTCTTGCTTTATTTACACTTGATTCATAAAACAGTTGTCAATTTTACAACAAATTTAATGCGGCACATCAATAACAAGATCGTCTTCATCTTCCTCACCCCCATCTGCTCCAGGATCACTGAAAAAAAATTCAAGAGAAAACGTTATTCTTGTCTAAACATATATCTAGTGAACTATATCAACAACAATAATCCCATCCACAGTTAGATTTGATGTAATTTCAAATGAAGTTATGCTGCCAAATGTTAGTCAAATCAAATCTTGTGCACAGTTAAATTTGTACTACCTATAAATTCTAATCTATATTATCTATAGATATTTTCTGTCATTATTCATTGGTTTAAAAACTGTAGAAATACTTATATAATATAAATAATAATGTAAAAGAAATTTTTAAAATAATGATTGTAGAAAATGTGGTTTTATCCTGTGCCATATACATACATAGATGTGAGTGAACTTTTTTAACAAAGAGAAATTAAAACTTTAAAAAATCAAACAGAAAGAAAGTGAACTGTACCTCTCTTGATTGGGATCATTACTGAATATTTCCATAGGCAATGAAGCTGTGGCCTTTTCAATACCAAATTCATGTCTTTTAGACTCTAGGTGGCGCTCTAGCTCTTCCCTAGTCATCTGACCGGGAGATTCTAATTTCACAGCAGCAGACTTCTGGCTATCTGTCAGATATATTTCAGCAGTTACAAATTATTACATTCAATTGTTACACACATTCACAAACCTATACTTATGCACTTATTATATGCATTTTGACGTAAATAGAGGGGAGGGGGCAAAGGGATTTGAAGATTTTTTTTTCTAAATTAAGGAAGATCATTGTAAATAGACTTACTAGATTTACTGCTCTTCTTTCCAGAACTTTTGCTCTTCTTTTTAGTTACATGTGTATCACCTCCCTTTACAAAAAAAAAAAACAACAGCTGTGTTAGTTTAAAATATAATATTTAGCAAGCAAAGCTAACAAGGGTAAATAATGTTGCAGCTTATTTCTAAAACAAGTTTAAAAGGTTATTATTCTAATACAGTTTTCGCTGTTATGCAGTAAAATAAGAAGTCAAGCTGGATTGAATTCTATATAATAAATATTTATTTTGCAATACTTACTGTGATGTGTTTAGCAGAAGACTGCATCATCTGAGCTAGCTCAGCTGCCGATGACGGTTGGTTGACGAGCCTACGTCTAAATTTTAGAGGAATAAACATACATTGTTTTATCAAACCTTATGACTGCATACAAAGTACTCAAGTGAAAAAATGCCACACTTCATGTCTACTACACATTGCAATGCCTGAATTGCCATGATGATGGTGGTGTAAATAAAAAGTTAATACTTAGATACTAGAATTTAATCAACAAACATGTATAGATGGGATAATATATGAACACATTATTCAAAGGCAATCATGATTGTTATAGGAGCTGTTAAAACCCTACAACTTTCATAGAAATATTTCCTTTAAAAGAAAAGATAATTAAAATATATTAAAATGTCAATTCAATTTTTAAAGGCAAATCATTAAAATATGTGTATCTAACATACACATTTTAAATTTAAAAAGAAATGTGATACTTTTTAACAGGTCCTGGCTGTCCACCATCTTCTGTGTCTGTAGAGTTAGTGGCATCCGACTCTCCTGAGGAATCCTCTACCTTCTCCTGCTGCAGGAGCCTATCCAGCAGAAAACTTCGGTCTCTAGAGACCTTTAAAAGCTTTCTCTGGGCTTTCCGCAGTTCATCCAGGAAACATTCTTGTTCCTGCATTTCATTAAAATAAATTCCATAAAAAAATTTTTTATGCACTAATAGTACCAAACATACAATTTACAATCAAATACATTGTTATTTTAAAAAGAACACGTAAAATAAAAAATTAGTGTGTTATTAGGCCTATTGAATATTTATTAGTTTTAATAAATGAACTTAAACGTGAAACTACAAAATAAGATAACTCATAACTCACATAGACCAGCAGCCTCATTTTCTTTTTCAGGGCTTTGTATTTCTGTCTATAATCTATGTGACCTTCTGGGAATTCCTCTGAAATTATACCCAAGTATAATTATTACCATTCAATTAAATTAAAACCTTAAAAAACAAATACATGTTGTATGATTGATAAGTGATAAACCTATTTAGTATTTTCTGCTGTTAGATGTTAAGCCTAAAAATTACGAATGCAGTTTTATCTCATTGTAAAACATTTTTTTTTAAAAACACTCAAATCATTTTTATGTTTGAGACTTTGGATCAAAAACTAATTTTTATTTATTACTTACCTTCAAATTCTCCTGTTACTGGCATCATATCTGAATCACTCAACCTCAATGAATGAATGTATTTCTGATAGGCTGGGTTGTGTGTGACTCAATATAGCTAGTCTCGTTAAATATTAAATGATGAAATTCTACAAATATAGGGCCTAATATTGCCTAATAAGTAATAACTAATAATGTTTAAATAACTGTAGAGTACTCAGTGAGTAGTACAGTACTGTAATAACTGCCTAACTCTAAATGAAATGAAGTGACGAAGTCCTGTACTGTAAAGTAAAAAGTTGTAAACTAAGACTAAACTACTAAAAATCATAAAATGCATGATGATAATATAATTAATTAATTTAATTAGTATAATTAGATCTAGAAATAATTAGGCCTAGATTACTAAGATTAGAAATCATCTGAAAAAACTTAGATCAATAGATCTACTAACTACTAACTACTTGAATCTTGTCATCTTGAAGTTAGTCAAATGATCAAATTCAAATCATTAAAAAAAAAGTTAGGCAACTAGGCTAGTCACTAGTCCATAATTATTATTAGGCCTAATTATATATAATTATTAATTAATTAACTATTTACCTAACTATTTTTAAGTATTTTTGGAAGCAAATAAAAAATCAAGACTCAAGAGTCAAGACTTCAAGACTAGACCTCTAACGTCGGACAATCTTTATTTTTGATAGGATAAGCTTACCAAAGTAATGTAATAAACTAACAACAAGTAGAAGATCTAGAATCTAAATCTAAGCTAGGCTGTATCAAGCCTGTGCTAAACATTAAAACTAATTTAAAACTAGTCTATTGTTTTTCGTTAGATCTAGATTCTAGATATAGATAATAGATCTAGATTCTAGATCTACCTTTGATGGCTTATTTCGGTTCTTAAATGGTCAGAATTTTAAATCGATCCACATAAAATTAAAAAGAAGACTCAGGCTCGATATTGTAAAAGAAACTACTAGATCTATTTCATTTGGCTGGCATATGTTAGAAAAAAGTATCATATTATTAGTTCATTAATAAAGCAGGGTTATTTATATTTTTAAAAGTCGATGCAACCATAAAAAAAGTTTGGCAATATTTTTTTTAATCACTCCGCTGTCCGATCTATAATTTTTATAAATCTAGGAACAACAATTCTCCACTTCCTTTTTGAACTGTTTCCGTCAAGGTATAGCTGTGGATAATATTTTACCTACTTACAATTTGAATTAATCTGAAGTAAAACTTAACAATCCTGTCTAAAATACGTGATAGATTATAAAAATAATAATGCACTGTTATTTTTCACTTGATTATTGATTGTAGTGTGATTCACAAATTGGTATTTTAACATATTTTTAAGTGTACCTACAGGGTAACTTAGGGTTTAGAAAACAAAAGTGGATGGGGAGTATTTTTATTTCCAATGACACTAGATCTAAGATATAGAGATATAGATTTTACATCTAGGTTTAGAGTGCTCGTTAGCTAAATTATTTTCTTCTCTACTACTTATTATTTACTTATTATTTAATCTCATAACCCAGAAACTAGGCTGGATATCTAGATCTAGAAAGATTTGTAAGAGAAGTTATGTTGAGAGTTAATTGGTTAGTTAGTCCCTAATCTATTTTAAATTTAGTTCGATCTAATAGTTAAAACTAATAAAATAACCCGTATAATTTGTAGATGCCAGCTGCATCTCAGAAGAAGCCATCTTTTGTCACCAAAAAGATTGGTGGTGAGAAGAATGGAGGGGAGAGAAAAGTGCGAGTTAGCAGATTGGTAAGTAGATTCTACATTTATTTTGCAAAGGATTTGTTTGCTTATGACAACAGGCACTTTAGAGAACTAATGAGTATTCTTTTTTAACAGCCGAGATTCTATCCAACTGAAGACAAGGGACGAAAGCTAAGAAGCCACAAGAAGCCATTCAGTCATCATAAAAGAAATCTGAGACCCTCAATTACCCCAGGGACTGTTCTTATTCTTCTTGCTGGAAGACACAAGGGAAAGGTAAGCAGCTTTTAATCAGCTTACTGGTTGTAAGAATGTTAAAGCCATTTATTTGTTTTTTTATAAGTACCAGTTGTTTTACACTCAATTTCGAATGCACCTGTTGTAGCTTTAATTAGATGCTAGATCTAGATGGTGCAACGATCATAAACAATGTGAGCTTCCTTTTCTAGTTTCACTCCTGTAGGTGATCCTCCGTGGGTTAAATAACATGCAGGGGTGCCACTTTTCCGGGATATCCCGGATTTCCGGATTCGAGAATCATATTTTTTTCCCTTTCCGGATTCGCAAGATTTGAGTTTGAAAATTTCCGGGTTTGCAGTTTAAAAATTTTTTTAGATCGTTTTAAGCTTGAAAATTTTGGCATTGTTTAAAAAATCTTTTTTATCGTCAACACTCCCGCTAATGGTCTTTTCCGAAAAAAAATGAATAGTAAATGACGTCAGCAACAATCTCACGCGTGCGCCAAGGACCAAATAAAAATCAGCTGTATCAGATGGGTGAGGCTGTAGACGAAACTTTTTGATGTCATTCGTGGTGTGGTTGTCTGGCTATTTATGACGATATGGGTTGGGGTTAAACTCGCATTATTTACGTGATGTCATCAATGGGATACCGCTAGGCTGTGTAATAAAAACAACTAAAGCCTACCATTACTAGCATCGCCGATCGTCTTTAAAAAAAAAACAACCGAAAGATTTTGCTCCGATCAAAAAAATAAATTGTGTATTTGGTATTACCAAAAGAAAAGAAAAAAACTATTTGGAGGACTATTTTATGTATGAAATAGAACTGTGCTGTTTTCACTCAACTTTACCGTCACTTTTTACCACCTCTTACCCGCTTCTTCAAGGTCGCGCTGACCGTAAGACCTACGTCACGAGGACACGCAAGCACAGTCTGAGTCGTGTCTCTCGGTCAAGGCAGTTCTACAAGTACAAGCGCTGTTTAATTTTAACGTGGTTATTTTTAATAAGGGCCTACTTCTAGATTCAAGGAAAAAAAATAGATCTGCATCGTTTTATATCATTAAACAAAATATGTAGGCCTGCTATAATTTAGTTACACGATCTAGCAGGGTCTACATCTGTTTTTTTTTTTTACTTTGGTAAAACGTCATTGAAATGTTTAAAAAATCTTGAAGTACCGTGTCTGAGAAAATAGCCGCTATCACTGCCCCCTCTGAACCGCTTGTAAAAAAAATCCGCTTTTCACTTAGTCGGGCGGCTACATCTCTGACATGAGTATTACTAGCGTAGAAAATTATTTTTAAAATTAACTTAATTCTGTTATTCCGCGACATGAACTTAAAACTTCCACGATATTTCACGATCATGTATATCAAAGGTGGGGGCATTGGGGTCGTTCATAAATGACGTCACACTCGTAGGGGGAGGGGGGTCCGTAATTTTGTCATGAGAGGGAGGGGTTCAGATGGTGTGACATCACACTTTTGCATTATCCAAAAGCTATGTTAGAAATCGAATTTTAGCCGTTATTTCGCGGTCAAGAATATTGTTTCAATAAAGTGTAATAGGAATTGATTAAAATACTATATGTTGACAGAGGTCAGACAAGATTTTTGGAAAAATATCGTATTTTAAGAAAAATTCAACTGCAATTTTTAGGAGGGGGGGGGGTGTAGGCTGAGGCGTGACGTCATTTTAGAGGGTGGGGTCTGGCTTTTTGTGACGATATGTGACCGAGGGGAGGTGGGAGGTAAAAATCGTCAAAAAAGCGTGACATCATTTATGGAAGACCTCATTAGTGTTGATTGGGAAAACAGTGTTTAAGGTTTTTGTTGTGGCTGTTAATAATTAAAGCCTTGAATAGCTACAGTAAGTCAACCTTGTATTTTAATACAGTGGCAATCTTATTAGGGGTCTGCATATAGTGGGCTTATTATTCAACAACAAGACTAGAGGTTAGCAAAATATTTGTTACTTAACAGTTGGCTGACTTCACACTTTAAATCAAGCTAGGAAGTTCTAAAAAAATTAAATAGTTATGTTATAAAAGCTGGCTGGGGGGGGGGGGGGAGTTCTACAATAGCACATTATGGGGTAGGCCTAGAGATGGGAGTAACATTGTAAACTAATTTTGTTGTAAGCACAATCCTTTAAAGATTAATTTTTATTTGAAGCTTGTTACAAAGAAAGTAAAAATCCCTTTTAAAGGAATGTAAATTGAACATAATATGAATCAAATGTCTCAAAAAATAATGAAATAATAGTCCATTTTATTTTGAAATTCCGCGCGGAATTAAGTTTCAGGGTTTCAAAAATTTCAAATTTTAGTTTCAGGATTGGTAAAATTTTGGGATTCATTTTCAGGATTCACTTAAAAAATGAGTGGCACCCCTGAACATGTCACTTGTGCTCATTATCACCAAAGTGTCTACTCGGAAGAAGATTTTTCTCCCCAACGTCTCCACTTAGCCGGCAAAAGATAGCTCTGCGCATGCGCACTGACTTAGGGTTAGGGATAGTATTAGAGATATGGTTAAGGATAGGATTAGGGTTCTGCGGTTGTAAACACACGCATGTGCAGTACCATCGAAAACATCGCCGCTAAGGCAAGTCGTAGTTTCTCTCCATTGCGCATGCATATCTTATTCCGGCTAGAATCGGCCAATTATCACAGTAACTAAAAATTTTGCTAGACTAAACAGAAATTATTTTGTGGTTTCCCATGGAGCTTTGTAAGGGTAATGTAAATTTATATATTACCACTTAGAGGTTTAAGTTAACCTTAGAAAGACAGAAATTTCCCACCTTCTTTGCATCTTGCTGCAATACTTGAGGATTTTTTTTTTTTTCATTTTACTTATGAGCGGTTGACCTGAGAAGAATGAGAACTAGTCTTACTAGAATTTTATAAACATGCAAGGTTTAAGTATAGGATCACCTTGTGGGCCAGAAAGTTATTTTAATATTCATATTTTATGACATAGCTTTTAACATTGATTACAAATGCCATACGGATATTAAAGGCTGACAAACGCTAAGAACAGTTATATAAAGAATGCTTGCGTAGTTAAAAATTTAATGGTCTGTTTCATGTGTTGCAGCAAAGTTTTATTTTATTTTTTTTGTTGTAAATTATCATTTTAGATCTGTTTGGGGTTAAATTTGCCAGCTATTTACCTTCTAATTGATGCTTTTTGTAATGGAATAGGTTAACATAAGAATGAAAAATGTAAGTGGGCTATGGGGCTGTATTGTGGTGATTACGTAATTAGCACTACAAACAGGTTCATGTTTCTGTAACATGTTACTTGGTAGCCGGTGCAAAAGAGAATTTATTCTTCTTTACTTTGTATGGAACATGTTTAACACATTTTTTCTAGTAAAGGAGAAAACAACTCATTTTTATTTATGGACTTGTATTCTGGTTTCTTTCATTTTCCTTGAAAATTTGTTGCTTTTTTCTTTCTCAGAGGGTAGTTTTCCTTAAACAACTCAAGTCTGGTTTGCTGCTTGTGACAGGTAAGATTGTTCTTACATTATTGTAATGTTTAGTGGGATTTCCTTCAACACATTTATGCACCACATGGCCAGTTGACTCAAATTTCAACCCGCTTTTCTTTCTAGATCCAGTTTGTTCTATTTTTGTAATTTGGCTTAGTTCTAAATAAGTATTTTCACACTGACAGGGAAGTCCACTGTCAATAAATGACTGCTAATTTCCCATCTCAATTATAGGTAGATTTGCAGATCCTTTTATTGCATATTAGCTCTACTGTTGTTTTTTTTGTGCTTTGGTAGTAATTTTGTATGTGCTCTTTTATTTTTAAGACAGGTTGTGTATATATGTTCTAATAATTTTTACCTTTTCTTTAGGACCTTATCATCTGAATGGTTGTCCCTTGAGAAGAATCAATCAAATTTATGTGATTGCCACAAAGACAAAGTTGGACATCAAGAGTGTCAAAGTACCAGAGAGAGTAAATGATGAATATTTTAGAAGGCTGAAGTCTAAGAAGCCCAAACATACTGAGGGTGACATTTTCAATACAAAGAAAGAGGTATGTTGTGCCTGCAGTTATTATATTTTAATCTCGAGAGGCACTTTAGTAGACCAGCACTTTAGTAGACCGGCCATTTGTAATTATACATTTGATCGGGGGAAAGCAGGTGCTAAATAATTCTAGCATGGTCAAGCTCTTGTTGCTTGGGTTGACTTGGTGACTGTCTTGAATATGCAACATTATTATTGATCAGTCTTTTAATTAAGATTTTGTTGTTTCCCTTTTATCTTATGTTGGGTTGTCTTTGATTTTAAGGTCTATGCTGTCAATGATGAGCGCAAAGAAGACCAGGCTAATGTTGATCGTCAAATTTTGGAAGTGATTCGTAAAAACCCTGAAAAGAAGCTCTTGTTTGGATACCTAGGCGCTATGTTTTCATTGTCAAACAACCAGTTTCCCCACAAGATGGTGTTTTAATTGGATTTGGCTTATAGAGAAATAATACACATTAAAACTTGTGAATAAATTATTTTTTTGTTTTTTTTTTACTGCCATGTGATGTATGTACAAGAGAAAATTTTAAGTAATATTTGTGGTATTTAAGAATGGTTACCAATTTGCTGTTTTTATAAGCTCAAATGTGGTATCTAGTCAGAGTGTGTCTGGCCTTTAAAAGAATTATGTGCCTTTGCATGGGCTCCTAAAGTATTATATTGGTTTCTAAGAATCAGTTGAACATTGCATTACCTTTACTGACTAAAGTTGTAAGCAGTTTAGTTATGTAAAGCATGTTTTTTATTTCAATTGCTCTACTCTGGATAATTTCTAACTCCCCATTCATCAATCATTGACAATATTGTTTATAGTGGATACTGGCAATTCATGCAAAAGCAAGAAAAGTAATTTACTCAGCATCTAAAAATTACAAAGTACAGTAAAAGAACTGTCACTAATGAACAAGCTTTCCTGTTAAAATGGGCTGTAATGGGAGGCATATTGTCTTCAGTGAATTCATCCCAGCTAATCACACTGGTAGTGGTATCACAAAGTGTCACCTTCACTTAGACCAGAAAATTTAAGTTTTAAACCAACTTGGACAAAGCAAACTTTCTCTTTAAAATTAGCTAGTTTTGTTCGGGTGTCACCTGGTGCAGTCAATGACTTAGTTTTAGCTCCAACACATGTTCCTCTGTAGTTTAACAAAGCAGAAAACCAATTCATCTGCTTTTTTAGTGGTGTAACATGTATTTGTAGATGAGACAATACAGTGTTATTGTGAGTTCTTCAATGAATATGAATAACATCTTTCAACTAACAAATTTATTCACATTAATAAAACAAATCCATAGGAATTAATCATGAAAATCTATAGTGCAATCAAAATATACTGAAGAGACAGTGACATGGTAACAGCTTACAACATTCTTCTATACAGTCCCCCTTGTGCTCTCCTTTTATAGTTTATACCCATCATTCTCTTCCCTAACCCATCATTCTCTCCCCTAACGTCAGTGAGCGATGTCACAAAAAAACATGAATAGTCACTCACAGTCCTTCAATTGGCCAGGTGCTCTACTTGCATACAACTTCATGCTAAACACAATATAATAAATCATACAAGTACAGTCTGTTACAAGTGGCTTTTATTTTAATAGTAAAATTGGTACATGAAACTGAAGAACTCATTGCACTTGTATCTGTTGATTAGCTGGGATTGGATGCCAGTCTTAGAGATTTCCCTGCAAATAAAAGTGTGGACAAGTACAACTATCTAGCATATCAAAACTTTGGATTTGATATTACACAGCAAAAACTTGTAGGTAAAAATGTACTTTTCCCTCCAAATAAGCAGTAAGAAAAGGTGTATCAAACATACTAATTTATACTAAATACTAATTAATGTATAATTTTCTTTGGAATGTTGAATTGAAAAAAAAAAGTGTTTTAGTTTTATCACGATTCTGTTAGCTGCAAAATTATAAACATACCACAATCAGGATTATTATTACCAATAACATTGCTTAAATTATTTTCCAATTTTTAATAGATTTCCCAGACTTGTTAAAATTTTACATCACTTAAGTTGGTTTTATATTAAATTATAAGCAATAACTCCAAATTCAAGCCAAGTATTATAATTTTATACTGAATTCAAACTAAGTATTACATTCCAATTTCAAACCAAGTATTACACTGGCATGTGTACACTGCATAAGTTATAGTATACTAATTTATTATTCTTTTAAAGACAATACAAAGAACAATGGCAGCTATTTAAATAGAACCTTACTTCGTTCTGATGCTGGAGTGCTACGCTCCTGTGTAAAAAGTTTTTTGCCAGATTTTGAAGTCCTAGTGCTTGGTGTGCTTTTCCTTCAAAATAATAATAAAAAGATTTGAAAACTATAAACAGGACCTACTCTGTATAAGTCTTATACTTATATAGCATGTTTATTACAATACTTAATATCTAATTAAGAAAAGTGAAACAGAAAGAACTAAATCTAACAGCTATAGTACCTGTTCTGTGATGGTGTTAAAGTTTGTCCCTTTCCTTTAGGTGTACAATGCTGTCAAGTTAAACAAGGGATATAAGAGTTAAGTAACAATTTCAAAAGTTTATTTTAAAATTATATTAATTTTTTCTGTACCCTGGTTTCAAAGGAACTAATGTTGAAAAGTGGTTATGTTACAACACGATTACTGGTGCTATACTTACATCCGTATTACTGCAGGCCTGCTCAGGTTGACATGTTGAACACGGATGCTTTTGTGGAGATCCTTTTTGAGAACCCCTGAGAAAATAAGTTTTTCTTAAGGCTGACTGGTTTGATGCTGTCGTACTGGTGCTAGAATCAGAGTCCATGTCAGGCGAGTCTTTCAAAGAAGGGCCTGGTGCTGACAGATTGAGGTCAGTGACCTGCCTGGGTGTGTTCTTTTTCCCTGCTGCTCTGTCTTTCAGAGAATATGTTTTGAGGGGCTCACCAAACACATCTTCAGTCCTTGTGGGTTTGACTTTGTGGTTGGAGGGTGATTCATCAGGGATCTTTATTGGTGATTTAGCTTTCAATTCTACTTGAACTGGAGTCTTTACTGGTGATTTAGCTTTCATTTCTACTTGAACTGGAGTCTTTACTGGTGATTTAGCTTTCATTTCTACTTGAACTGGAGTCTTTACTGGTGATTTAGCTTTCATTTCTACTTGAACTGGAGTCTTTACTACTGATGATTTAGCTTTCATTTCTACTTGAACTGGAGTCTTTACTACTGATGATTTAGCTTTCAATTCTACTTGAACTGGAGTCTTTATTGGTGATTTAGCTTTCATTACTACTTGACCTGGATGGGTTTCATCTGCAGAGCTTAATCCAGAATTATTTCTAGCAGATCGTTTAGGAGTTTTATTTATTTTTGGAGAACTCTCTATCATAGAAGGTTTAGGGGAAGTAACTGTGCTAGTGTCAATAGCTTGTACAGGAGATTTATCTTTCCTGTGCAGTGAATCCTGGATACTACAACTGCTTGTATCTTCAGATCCTTTTCTAGATGATCCTTTGGGTGTAGATTTCATTTTTGGAGTTTTCTCAGCATTAGGAGATACGTTAGGAGTTGCTGTATTTCTAGTTAGTACTGACTGGGTAAGTGACTTCCTTTTTCTGGAGGAAGATTCCTGGTCAGGTGTTTTTCTTGCCGTTCTTTTTGGAGTTGCTTTTTTTGTCTGGGTTTTCTCTGGACTAATATCTTGTCCAGTACTCTGCTTTTGTACATCCATCTTACTATCCGTTGATGGTGTGTGGCGTTTCTGCCTTGGTTCGGACTTCACTTCAATCTGTCTGTTAGATGTTAGATCAGGAGTGCTAGGAGGCTTGAGCAGCCAGTCTCTCAATGAAACTTCTGCTTTTTTCTCCTGTGCCTTCGGTTTAATCACAGTTAGATCACTGCTGGCGGGTGTTTCAGCTTTAGACTCGGATTTTGTCCGAAGTCTAGTTCTAATATTTGATTGGGTATTCGTTTCTTCTCTCTGTGCTGAAGAAACATTCAATCTGATCTCGGTTATCATTTTACTGATATAATCTTCTGTTACAGGTTTCGGGGTTTTATCTGGAGGATTATCACTCCCACTTTCTGGGCGATCAACCTTTTTACATGAAACACCACCCCCTTTAGTGGGAGAAACAATATTATCATTTGAGACGCTGGTAATTTTTTGGGTAATCTTTTTTGGAGAATTTACCTCCACACAAGAATCTTGTCCAGATTCATCATCAGATACAGCTATGTTATCTTGGCTGTGATCAACATTTTTATTACCTGATAATTTATCACGTTTGGCTTGTGAAGCCTCTGTTTCACCATCATCGGAGTCACTGGCAACTACAATAGTTAATTTTCTAGGAGAACTACACTCTTCATCGGAATCTTGTTTAGATGGAGTTGATGACTCAACATGTATATCTTCGCTGCATTCACTACTTGTGTTTGCTTTAAACCGTTTCAAGGAGTTTGAAATGTCCTTTGTCAAAGAAATAATTGTTTCATCAATTTCAGAAGAGGATTCTGAAGAGTCTCCAATGGTTATTTTTTTAGTAGTGACAACTTTTTTAGGTGATGGTGAACGTTTTAGAGGTGAATTTTGTTTCTTGGGGGACTGATTAACAGGAGAACCAACCATCATGGGTGATCGTTTAACAGGAGAGTTATCTATCTTAAAAGATTGTTTACTGGGAGAGTTATCTACCTTCAGTGCTTGTTTATTGGGAGATGCTTTAACAGGAGAGTTATCTTTCTTGAAAGACTGCTTGATGGTTGAGTTCTCTACCCTGGGTGATTGTTTAACAGGAGAGTTCTCCTTCTTAGGGGATAGTTTCAGTTTCTTTGGTGAAAGCTCTGTGCTACTTATCAAACCTCCTTTTACCTCAACCAATTGGATCTCCATATCTTCTTCATGTTCCAGGTTTTTGCCACTGCCAACGTAATCAATCACAGGACTCTCAGCAGCACTTCTATCCGACACTGATGGTGAATTAATAAATCTCCTAGCCGTCCTGTCGATAATAAATCCTCCTGGAGTGTCCTCATTTGCTGTATCGTAAACAGAACATTCCTCTTCATCAGATTCTATATCAAAATTTTTAACATCCGAGCTATTCTTTTCTAAAGGTGATTTTGTAGCTTTGGAACCCAGATCAGGTGTTCTTGTGATATTTTTGCTTACATCTATCACCTGTATTTCCATTTCTTCTTCACTCTCTAGTTGATTCTTGCTTTTATTTAAACTTTTGCTAAAATAATGCAGAGCAGGATCTGAGTTTGTCTTCTTTTCTGCTGATCTGTGGGGGGTTCTATCAACAAAAAATCCTGGAGAACTGTCAGTCTTTTGTGGGGTTTTTTTGTTTTTTTTCTGTGGAGTTTTTCTGGGTTTTATGTCAGGAAGATTAACACTCTCATCGGAGTCGTTATCAATGTCATATACATCTATGACTTTGTCTTTTCCTGCATTTTTCTTTTCAGAAACTGCCGATGCCTTATGAGTCAGTGAAACATCTTCTGGCTCAACATACTCAACATCCGTTCCCTCCCCTTGATCTGTAGTTCCCTCCCCTAGCTTTGGTCTCTTGCTTTTGGGGATTTTATCATCATCATCAACTAGAGAAATTATACAGAAATCTGAATCATCACCATTTATCTCCTCTACTGTCAACACGTTATTTGCATCACTTTCTGAGCTTTCCCTCTTTCTCTTTGAGGTCAAATGCTTTTTATCAGATTGAATCTAAAAGTATAAAAAAAAAGGCAATGGTGAAGACAGATCAAGCTTAGTTTCTTACAAGTTGGAATATAAATATGTTCTCATTTGTTGACCTTTCTCAGTATTCAATAGTAGTAAAATATAACCAAAAACATATCTATTTGAACATACTAGATGCAAATAATAAATTTTAGCAGAAATTAGATATAGTGACAAGATGTGTCTAATGCTCTTTGAATGAACAGTTGTCTTTTAGACAGGTATAAGAATTGAAAGTACAAATACCTTTAAATGTTTTTACTTATACCCTGTTTTAACATAGTTTTTAAAGTTTTTGAAATTACATTACAACTTTAGTATAGATTCCAAAATATTTAAATAAAAAATCATTTCTAAAACATATTTTCAAAGAGGAAAAGCTTTACCCCTACAAAAAAGTTTTATATATTCTGCTTTCTATTTTAGCACACACCTGTTGAGAGGAATCGCCTTTTTTATCTATGACAAACAGATTTTCTGGTGCTGTCATGCTTTCAGCTTCCATGTTTTCAATCACTTTAGTCTCAGGTGATGACAAACATTGAGCAAACACCTAAAAAACAGTTTAAAAATACCATAAAAATACATGAAACTTATCTAATTAAATTATTGAAAATTTCAATTTTTTTTACTAGCTCAATATAGTTTAATTATCAAGGAAAATTTGAATAATAAATGTCATTTGTATTGTCACAGATTATTTTCATAATTACTGAAAATTAGAATAATAAATATTGTGTGTATGGTCATAGATTATTTTTATAATCACTGAAAATTTTAATAATAAATGTTGTGTGTATGGTCATAGATTATTTTTATAATCACTGAAAATTTTAATAATAAATGTTGTGTGTATTTTCACAGATTATTTTCATAATCACTGAAATAAAAAAAACCACTTGCATCAATCAATTCCTCAACAGCTTGTGAGTCAAGTTCCAGCATCAACTCACTGACACGACGACCTTTTAAGCTCTTGTCCTGTGGTACATGGTGTTTAGCTTGAAGCCACCGTTGGCACAACCATTCTAGAAAACTCTTCGGAGCTTTGATTCTTAAGCAGTCCTGTTGAGTGAACATGAAAAGAATTCACAACCAAAGGCAATGATTAACTGACATTGTCATAAAAAGATGAAATACATTTTCCAATGTTGCATCATAAAATAGAAGTATTTACAGTACCTGAGCAATGTCTTTTATGTCATCACATACAAACAGCCAATGCTTTAGCAGTATAAAATGAAGAAGGTAATCCATGTTATTTTTAGAGATCCCCGTAGTCTCAGATAATAATTTTCTGAAATTGAATATTTTTAAAAAGTAAGTTTCACAATTCTCTAGTTTAATGCTACTGTGGTAAATAAACTACTGAGGAAAAGTAGCAAGTAAATAACAACTAATACTAATATATTTTTTAAAAACTTTCAGGTAAGGAATTAACAACTGATGTTTAATTAAGTTTAGTTTGTTTCCAGAATAAACCGCTTATACATTTACGTAAAAAATGCTTAATTTCCATTGTTGGTTTTTGTTGTTAATGTTTAGCATATTTAACATATTTCAACTGATATTGGCCTAGAGTTTAATCTATCTGGATTTTTATCACTTTGATTTCAATAGATATAGTTGTAAAAGTACAATAAAAATCGTGAATTATTATGATAAAATTTACCTCAAAATTGGCAATATTAGCTTTCCGCCAGCTGCTGTGCACTCTGAAGCTTCGAGAAGTGCTGTCTTTAAACATCTTTCATTCAATTCAAAGGCCAGAAAACTATACAGCCTCCTGACATGTTTCTTTGTTTTCTCTTTAGATCTACAACATTGTTTCATGATTATTCAATTTTTAAAAATAAATCAGCAGGTCATGTTTTCATTATTGCCATTCTTTGTTCATTTTTAGAATATACTTTTCATCTTTATTTCAATTCTTGTTACTCTTTCTCTTTCAACTCTGTTAATTTGTTCACAATTTTAGTCTTTGTTGCTAGTAGTGTACTTTTAGTGTTGCAAATATCAGTGCGACTACTTGATTACAAACACAACACCCTTTATAGAATACTTAATACAGTAGATGTATTAAAACTAATCTGTTTCAGTACTACATATGAAGGAATCATTAAGGCTTAACAACCAAATGCTTGGATCTCGAGTCTTTGAGGACTATGATCTATGAAATGCAATACATACAATATTTAGCACATTATGATTTAAATTTTAGTTAAAACCTAATACTCACTTGTAAGTACAAATGAACAAGTCTATGTAGAGGGATGCCAGAGAAGGTAGTATTTCATAAAAATCTGGGCTGAACTTGTAACATACCTGAAAAAAATGTGTGACCATTGGTAATGTGCAAATATACATCATAATAATGAAGTTAATTGATAGCTGAAATATCTTACATGTTCGGATAATGCAGTGTGTTGGCTTGAACAAAGAAACCAAAATCCTTTCATAATCTTCAATGTTTCACTTGCACTGTAAAAAAAGATTTTTTTAAATGTGTGCATAGATTTGTACATAGGTTTAAAGAAAGAGTAAGAAGATTGTTTTAATTGTACATAAGTTTTAAAAAAAAGGTATAGACATATAAAAAAAATCTATTTTCAACTGCTAGATATCTGTGTTGAGCTACTGTTGAGTTAGTTTCTATAATAGACATACAAAATAGTTTAGTATTAGGGCAAGTCAACACATATGATCGACAAAAGTATACCGTTGATTAGCCATACAATGTTATACTAGAGTGAGTACAACTAAAATTAATTATAGCTTGTTTATCACCAACACTGATGCTGAAAACTTTCCTATAGGGAAACAGAAAGACATGGTAAGGTAAACAGTAAAGTTCCCTTTTCGAAACTGACAGTCTACTGGGCAAGTGAAGTAGAGTTCACCTGTTTCTGTGACCTCATAATATGAAAGGGATAGTATGATCAACACTGTGCTTTTTACTTTCCCTAACATGAGGTGCCCATCTGAGCTGGGTGGACTCAAGGATGTTCTACTGATTTGCATCCAGATTTGAACTAGAGACTTTTGGGTTAGCAGTCTGGAACTCTACTGCTGTCCCATCAAGGTCTAGCCAACCCAGAAATAATTTTTTAAAAGAATCAGAAGAAATTGTGTAAACAAATGAAACTCACAGGCTACTATTTTGTATCAGGTCCATTTCGCACATCAACTGTGAAGTCCGCCTGAAATGTACATACATTTTTTTTTAAGTTAAGTGCAAATATATTTATTTGTCTACCCTTATCATGATGTATCTATTATGTCTCGATAAAGGGGAGATCATATTAAAAAACCTCAAACAATAGTACCTTCCATCAGATCATTCCTGATAAAAAGTGATGGGGGGGGGGGGGGGGGGAAGATGAACCAAAGGTGACCATCTCTAAACTGCAAAATCCCATTAAAGGTGTTTGAAATTTTTAGACTAGTTTATATTTTACATTATAAGCTATAATACACTTCAATGTAACCTTACCTTAAAAACAGCTTCATCAAATTCTTTAAAGCAATTAAGGAGGAACAATGCAAGGTCATAGACTTAAGTAGAAGAAGAGTAGATAAACCTGACATTCTCATCTTGGCCTACGTTTTTAAAAAAAGAAAGGAAATTCTATTATGGCTAAAATTTCACTTGAGGTTTAAATTTCTCATAAAGTTTTAAAAACTAGTAGACATACTCTACTTAAGCTACTCAATAAACCTAGGTACTATTTACCTAATTTTCCAGCATATTTAAGAGACAAATTTGCCTAATCAACTAGATGTTTTAACAACAAATAAGCCTACTTATTTGTATTATGTTTGTATAAAAAGTAAAAGCATTCAATGCCTAAATTTATTTATTTACCTCTAGTTGTTGAAAAGTATTGAAACAACTGTTGTCATCTTTGGAATCTTGTAATAATTTATTAAGTAAGGCTACTTCTAAAAGAATAGAAGAAAAAAGGTAAAAATCTGTATTAAATATGTATCATAGTCTTAAAACAGTTTAAACCTATTTTTAAGTAAAAGTAATAAAAAATTATATGCTTTTCTTAACCCTTTCTTCATCCTTAGTTTATTGCTATAATCAATTATTGTAGTTTAAAGAATTTACATATCACTGTAACAGAATGAAAAATGAAGGATTCTTTGTGTATTTTTAAAAACTTACCATACTTAAATTTAGCCAAAACAGGAGTTACTTCATCCATAGCTAGGTTTTTTTTTTAAAGAGCCAGTTCCGTTTTGTTGAAAACACACATATAAAGAGAAAAGTACAATTGCATTACACAAGCAATCACACAATTCAAAACATACCCTTAGCTTTAACTGTAGCATAAACTGCTGGCAATGTTGACACAACAATAATAAGACTTAGATAGATAGGGCCTTCCATATTATTTATTATTTAATGGACCTTAGCCAGCACCAGCACACAAAAATCAACCCCCTTTCCTAAAATCATCCCAAAATCCATCCAGCCTAATCCTGGACAGAGAGTGTGTCCTTCCCCCCCCCCCCCCCCCCCCCCCATAAACCAATTTTAAAAGTGGCCATTAGGGCCCATTTTTTTAAAAAACTTTAAAAAAAACCAGAACTACACAGAGAAAAGAAAATGGCTTTTTCTGCCCTTTTCAGCCCAAAAAGTACTACTGCCAACAACCTATTTTCAGAGTCTATTTTATGAAAAGTAAAAGTATTATCGGACAACGGTTTATCTTCTAGACTAACTAACTCTTCTAATAAATTCTAAAAAACAAAGAACTTCCTCACCTGTCCACCTGACTGAACTAGGCCTAGGCCTAGACTAGGGCTGACTAGGCAGAGTACTAAAAATTGAATTTTAAATAAGAATAGATTAATTACCGACTAACTTGAGTTAGATCTATTTGTTCTAACAATGTCGTGATACTATGGCTTCACTTTAATATTTAATATTATAATTGTGAAGTTGTCTGAGGTTGATAACTTCGATTTTAGAGCAAAGTGATAATGCACGTTGCAATGTTTATAGTTTATGCTTCACACTTTCATTTCCTGCTTTTCATTTCCTGTTCCCTTTTTCGCATCTCTTTAAAATAATAATCTAGAATCTAGACCCTTAAAAATAGTAAAAATACTATTGCTTCTACATAGTACAATCTAGATCTAGAACAAATAGAGTTCTATTTAAAAACCGACCAAGCAAATTGTAGAGCATATTGTAATGATTTTAGTGGTTAATGGGACGGTGTGGTCAAACGTAAACGCAGGTCCACCAAGTTAGGATCAGTGTTTCTTTCAGGCATCGCTTCAGGAAGGAGGGGGTCAGAATTTCTTCCAGGCATCTCATCACTTTTTCAGCGTCAGCCCCCCCCCCCCCCCGGAACATTTTGCCCCCCCCCTCCGAAAATATCTAGTGTCCCCCCCACCCCTTTAGAAAAAAGTCTGAAAAAAACACAGGATGGGTGATTGGCGCACATCCACCCTACACCCCCCCCCAGTCGTAATATTCTGGGCACTCCACGGGAGTTTTAAGTGCCCCCCCCCCCCCCGGAGAAAAATGTCTGAAAGAAACCCGCCTGGCTACGATGCGTAGCCTACATGTGATAACAACATCAAAGAATGGACAGGTTTAACCATGAGAGATGCAATGGTGATTGCATAATACGGAGTGGAATGGAGGAGAATTATCAATAGGAAGCTTTTTTCGTTTTTGTTGTGCTGTCTCTAGCACTGAGGTATTCGTCCAGAATGTTTCTGGCCTCATCTGTGTTTACTGGGCGCTGGGCGGCAATGATACCCGCGAGGTGAGGATCTCGTAGCCCCTTGAGAAAATAGCGCAGTGAAACTTTTGCTTGGTCAGCTGACGGGAAAGCCATGGCCGTCAATCGTTTCACATCGGACGTATAGGGCTGGTAAGTAGGTCACCAGTTCTACGGCTCAATAAAACCTGCATGAGCCATAGAACTGTTTATTGACCTACTTACCAGCCCTATATTCAGCGGCTGTCTCCCTTGCTGACCTCTTTCTGTTTTCTAACTGCGTTAGATGCGTAGCGGTCCCCACCCTATCGAATCTAGCGCTCAATGCTGCGACAAAATTTCCAAGAGTTGTTCGGTCATTTTGACTGAGCTCAAGAAAAGCGAAATTGGCCGCACTCCGCTCCAAACAAGCTGGTAGATGCAGTAGCTGTCTATCTTCATTCCAGCTGTTAATGCTAGATATGGCTTGAAACTTGTTCCAAAACACTTGAAATGGCGCTGACCCGTCATATTGTGGTAACGCCTGGTTCATACATAATGGTCGCTCGTCTCGTCTAGCGATTCTCAGTTCTTTAATTGTTTCTTGAAGGTTTCTTATTTGTGCCTGTAGTTCGATATCTGCCATTTTTCTTTTCTGTAATAACTAGCTGCTTTCAGTCTCTCTGGGTGTGTGTTAAATTTCCTTTTTTTTCACGGCCACCAAATGTAATATTCTTGCTTTTATCAAATGTAACGTGTTTGCTGACACAAAATGTAATGTTCTTCTTCTCTTCTGTTTCTTGCTCTAATTCTCAGTCACAGACGATAAAAATTGATGAAGAATAAGTTGTCTTCTGCTAATCTTTATTTGACTTTCTTTCTTGGCCGGGAATTGTCTGTGTAGCGCGCATCTGACAAGACTATAGCGCCAACACGGGTGGGGTATATAAGCCGGCGGTTTAGCCTTAGAGGGGATGGAGAAACGACGGCCCTAGCCCCTCAATTAAGTATGGATCTATCATCTACATCTCAAGAATCTCCACACCAAAGACGAACCAAGTTATATCATAGGTCAGTATAAGACTGTAAAGGACGAACCACCTCATCTTCGACCCAAACTAGGCCTAATCCAAAGGAAAATTTAATCAAACCAAAGTTTTTAAACCCTTTGTTTACAAACTATTGTCCCCCCCCCCCCCACCCATTTGGTTGTGTCCCTTTATATCAGGGGTCTCCAAACTTTTCAGCCCGAGGGCCGCATTAACTATCAAATATCAGTTCGGGGGCCAGAGTTTCTTCCAGGCACCTCTTCGATATGGCGGAGCCCCCCCCCTCCCCCGACGAAATATAATTTATATAGAAATATATACAAATTTCAAGTTCCTCCCTCCCCCTCCCCGGATAAAAAAGTCTGAAAGAAACACTGTCGACAACTCACTCGAGGTACACAGGATTCAGTACACTGCTAATGTCCACTATTTAGCACACAAAGCTTGCTGATGAATAATACAGTGCAAGAACATTGGTTTTATAATGTTTTTTTTTCTCATCCGCTTGTCCAACCAATCCTTTCTTAATGCCACTTATGTTAGTCCAGTCAAAGTTATAATCAGCTATTCCCTTTTTAACTGATTGAATATATCATCTCCGGTAACAGAGCCACAAATGCTATTTAGGCAAGCCAGCTCTTGTGTTATGTCCATGTTTTTATCCACACCTCTAATGAACACAAACAGAGGTGGAACAGCTGCCCAGCGACTAATCCATTGCAATTGAAAAATGGCGAAACTTGCTTGCATTTTTCGCTATTTGAGTCACAATGTTTTCACCAATGTCTGCAACACGGCGGGCAATGGTATTTGCACCCAAAGCTATATTTTCAAATTTTTTCAATTTTCTGGGCAAAGTTCCACAGCCACCTCCAACAAACAATTTTTCCGTGAACACGTGAACAAAAAGATCTCCGCGGGCCGGATGAAAGGACCTCGCGGGCCGCATCCGGCCCGCGGGCCGTAGTTTGGAGACCCCTGCTTTATATTGAAAAACTGTCAGACGTTTTAATTTTAAGCACACGGGAAAACAGGAAAATATAAATAAGTAAGAAAATCTTATATGTTGATTATGAAATGGAGACACAGTTAAGCAAAGAAATGTCATGTACTAATTTTTGAAATGACAATATGTATATTTTCATTGAAATTATATATTTTTTTTAGAAAACGTCAAAGGTAACTCCAATTGGGTCTGTTTTTTTGTTAAAGTTTCATTCAGGCATTTCTTCGTTGTCACCGCCCCCCCCCCTCCCAATATAGACATACATAATACAAAATATATACTTTAACCAGTGTCTGCCCCTCCCCGGAAATTTAAATCAGCCTCCCCCCACGAAAGTTTCAAGTGCACCCCCACCCGGAGAAAAAAATGTTCGAAAGAAGTATTAGTTGCTTGTTTTAAGAGGGGTGATCGGGAGTTCGTGCGAGAAGAAGGGGTGGAATAAGGTTGGGGTGGACGTGGTGACAAACTGGTTTATGTTGCGTAGTAAAGCTTATATATTAATTGGCTGTTCATCTATCTGTATGAAATTCGACAAAAATAAAGTACAATTGAATCAACGGTACTCTTTTACATTTGGTTAAAATAGTTTTTATTCCATGTTGTTTCCGCGAAACGTCATTCTTAGGACTTGACCTAGACACCTGAAAGTCTTACAAAAAAAAAAATTGATTAAAAACATTTTTTTTGCCTGCGATACGAAATGCTTTGCAGCTAGATCTAGATCTAGACTAGTAAAAGAATAACTTTAAAACCAAAGTAAAAGCTTAATGTAAAGATCCAATGAACATTTTGAATACCCAATTGAAATTTATTATTTTTTAGAACCTAGTAGATCTATATAATTGTGGGTGGCTAGCGTTAGTTTCGCATAAAATAAATCATCCTTATTATTTAATAAGAAGTAGACTAGGCAATATATATTTGAAATGAAGTTTGGTTTAATGTTTTGAATATGTTTTATTCATTATTTAGAACCAAGTATTTTCCAAACTAAACCATCACATCCCTTTAACGTTAGCGGAAATTAGAAGGAATTCTGGGACAATGTTGTAGTGAGAAGTGAAAGAAAAAGCTAAGCTAGAACAATAGTTTAGTTTACTCTTTTTGCTTCCAACGTTGACCTAAAAACTTAAGATATTGATTAGAAATAATGACGAAAGGGACTATTAGTCCCGACGTATGATTAGCCCCCATATATGCTACACAGGGCGGCAAGACAATGGAACACGACAGGAGGCATTCAATGGCGATGAGTGAGTAGCGACGACTGACGACACCGCTTCACCAAAATGACACTTGACAGACGTTTACTTGAACTCACGAAAAACCATTTAAGGGTGTCATACGGGATTAATAGAAAATTTTGTTACAACCTGCATGTTTACCTGTAAAATGGTGTTATTAACAATAACAAAAAACATTAATTATTAGGCTACATCAAGTTAGAAGTCTTTTAAATTTTTAAGTTTACCACTTTTCAATATTTTTTTAAAAATAAATTTTCAGAAGAAATTGTTTTAAGCTTCCCCTTTTTATTTTTCAGATATGAATGGAATGGCAAGACACAATCCTCATCCAATGCCATCAGCAAGCAACAGTCTTCCTCCAGACTTTGACAAAAAGAGGAGAAATTATAGGCTTTTAGCAGATCCTATGATTGATCCAAGCAAGGAGAAGCTGTATAGATTTGATGGTCTAAATCCTGTTGTATGTGAACCAAGATTTTGTTGACCTGTTATAGTATTTCAGTTAATTGTTTTTGGTTGGCTGCAATTAGAATAATTGTTAGCCCCTGGCATATATAGAATTGTCATCAGTAATTAAAAATAGTAGATGTCCTGATCTGCAAAATTTTAAAAAAGCAAAAAAACAAATCCATTAACTTAAATTATTTTATTTCGATCTCATTGTTTGTGTCTTGAAACCATTTAAATTCAGTTTTACCTGTTTTATCATTAAACTACAAAATATTGATATTGTACATGTGTTTAGTGCTTCATACTTTTCAACTAACTTTTTTATTAGGATGGTAGAGCTATTGATACTCGTGATCCAAGACCAAGATATCAACGAATTTGCTATAGACGCCAGCCTGCTGATCTGCCTGTGCCAAGATGGAAGGTGATTTTGTAATTAATATAAACTGTAAAGCATTGAAAGTTCAAGTTTTAGTTAATAGAAGTACATTGTTTACATGTGTCCAGTCTTATATAGTTTAACTTTTAAATGAAGGTTCTGAAACAATGATTTTATCTCTTCAACCTGCAAATTAATATGTATTGGATTATTTTTTTGTTTCACAGTATGACCAGTATTATGTGGGTACACCACCAGCTAAGGAGGTGACGTTTAGTAATCTGAATGACAACATCAGTAGAGACTTTCTGGAAAACATGGTGAAAAGTTTTGGTAGAATAGAGGATATAAAGATATACTATCATCCTCGGAACAGAAAACACATGGGAATAGGCAAGGTAATGAAAACGCTACCTTAAATAGACAACCTATTGATGGGCTGATACATTTCAGGGAGTGATATATACATTTAATTAACATCTGCAGGTTGTGTTTGCTCAGTCAAAAAGTGCTAGGGCATGCGTTGAAAAACTCCATCGCACATCCAAAATGGGAAATGTTATGAATGTGTTGTTGGACACTATGGGTACGTTGATGTGTGAAAATTCTGCCCATTTCTCATACATGGAAACTGCCTGCTAAGCTTTCTGAGTGTTGTGACACCTGTTATTGTTTATCAGATCTAATGCTGCTCACTGTGCTTGCTTAACTTGCTATCTTTTATGTTGATCACATTATATTTTTTTGATTAGTAAATTAAGCATGATGTTTAATACCAACCCCACTTTTAAATATTAATCTGGCTTTGCAACCTAAAATAATTCTTTTCATAATGTAGAAAATTTTGAAAAAATCTTAAAAATTAACCACATCAGTAAGTATTTAGTAATCATAACTAGCTCTATTTAATAATAGAATTTTCCACTTTCTTTATTTTTTTTTTTAAATGTGCAAAATTTCATTTATTACTTTTTTCCTTGTTTTCCTTTGTTTTTGTACTTTCTGTCTCATATATGTTGTTTTCCTCTGGCTCTTTTTGCTGTTATATATAAGGCTATAAATAGTTTGAGTTATAAATAATGGTTTTTGTTATTGTAGGAAAAGAACGTCAGCGGCTCATTGATCAGAAACTGACTGACAGACCTAGGATAGAATTGGATTCTGCAGCTTTACCTATGGCGCCTTCTCGGACTAGCAGTGTTGATACACTTGAAAGGTTTGATTATATCGAACCAGAAAGTGAAAGAAAAGCATTTTCAAAAAAGCGTCAGCGTGAACAGCAGGAACAGAGTGACAGTGCTATGTCTGGTCCACCTGACACACCAAGCACCTCATCACAATCAACAGACATTAGTTTCAATCCCGGGACCCCGTTTGGTCAAAATAGCTTTACACCAGGATTTGATCAACACCACCCACCTATTTATATGACACCTGGTGGAGAGCCTCATCCTCCATTTCCACCAGGTGTTGATTATGGTTTTAACACTCCAGGACCTCTTCCTCCATTTCATAATCAAGGCATGCCACCGCACCCTCAGACTCCCATACATCATGGGCCACCTCCTATGACTCCTCATCATCCACTTTTTAATGATGGTTACGGGATTCCACCAGGTCCTCATGGGCCTGGTCCAGGGCATATGCCAGGCCCACCTGGCCCTGGTCATATGCAGGGTCCACCTGGCCCAGGGCATATGCAGGGTCCACCTGGCCCAGGGCATATGCAGGGCCCACCTGGCCCAGGGCATATGCAGGGTCCACCTGGCCCAGGACATATGCAGGGCCCACCTGGCCCAGGACATATGCAGGGCCCACCTGGCCCAGGACATATGCAGGGTCCACCTGGCCCAGGGCATATGCAGGGCCCACCTGGCCCAGGACATATGCAGGGCCCACCTGGCCCAGGGCATATGCAGGGTCCACCTGGCCCAGGACATATGCAGGGCCCACCTGGGCATATGCCTGGCCCACATGGCCCTGGGCATATGTCAGGTCCAGGGCATATGCCATTTGACATGCAGTCTCCCTTTCATCATGATATGCCAAACAGTATGCATGGACCTGGGCCCCCGCCCCCCATGTTTGATCATATGGGCATGAACAACAGAATTGATGAAAGAGACTGGCGTCGTGGTGGCAGACCGGGCATGGACACCCCATCTTCCTCAATGTCAACACCTATGTCTGCACCAAGTCCTGTACCAATGAACAACTTGCCTCCTCGAGGCAGAGATCCTAGGTCAGAAAAACTTCCAGTTTTAGAATCGCAGAGAGAACCTCCTTCAGAAAAACCTGCAACACTGCCAGATACCCCTGAGGCAGACAACGATGAGGAGCCTAGGTTTATGAGTTTGGAATCGAGAATTCAGAGTTTACTTCAGGGTGGTTCAGAGGCGGAAGAGAAAGATGAGGGTAAAACAGGATTAGATATTGGGCCTGATCCTGAGGTGCCACCATCCCCATCACCTATGGCAGCGCAAAAACCTCATCCTCATATTCCTCAGCATCCACATCCCCAAGACATGATGCCTTGGGACAATGGTGTTCACATGCACCCACCACCTCCACCGCCACCAGGGCATATGCCACCAATGCCTCCTCACCTTCACATGCAGCCTCCACATCACCCACCTCTAATGCAACCTATGCCACCAGGTTTACCCCCAGGTCACATGGGACCTCGCCCACACATGGACATGTGGCCAGGCAATGGGGTGCACCCGCATCCTAACATGCCATGGCCACACCCACCACCAATGGATGGACCTCATGCTCAACCATTTGAACCTCCTCGATCTCAAAATAATATTGATGGACCTTCTAAAGGTAGGGGTAAAAATAGAAAGAAAAATAGAAATAAAGGTGGGAAGTTCGGCAGGCAAAATCCTTCATTTCTGCCCCCAGAGACTATATCACGTCCTCCCCTCATCCCAGATAATAAACGTGATAATCGCAAGAGAGGTGAGAAGCTCATGGGTGATACATCTCCTCTTCCATTGATGGAATTAGACTTTAAATCTCCTTTTTCAGAAGATTCTCAACAGGCAACAACCAATGGTCAGTTGAATAATAAAGACATGGAGGATGATAGAATGAGCTTGGATTCTGTCAGTAGTGGAGATGAAAGGCTAGAAGTGAACCCTCCAGGTGGATTACGTCAACCTTTCAATGGCGACTGGCGGAATCAGCATGGATTTGATAACTTTGGTGTTTTTAATCCTGAGTTTGATTCAGAAACAGATTATGTCACCCACATGTTTTCTACAGTGTTGAATGAATTTGTGACAGAGTTAAAAAGTATTATGCAAAGAGATTTGTGCAAAAAGATGGTTGAGACATCTGCATTCAAGTATTTTGAAAATTGGTGGGACCAACAAGAGGAGAAAAACAAGGTAATTGCTATTTCTCTCTTTACTAATAGTGTGCATTTGCTGTTGTAGTTTTAGCAGTGTTCTAGCCTAAAGCTGAAATCTAAATACTATGCTGTATAATATTTATTTTGTATCAATAATATACCACACACCATACCATATTTGAAACATTATCCTCTCAAATTGTTCTGGATTGTATGTTAAGACTTGGTTTTTAAAAAATGTTTGAAGTGAGACCCATCTATTATGAATATTTAAATATGGGGAGTATTGGTTCTAACAATGTCTGACAGTGGACTCTTCCAAAAATAGGTGTGATAGGTTGTTGGTGGTATTGTAATCTCAGGTTTAGTTTTATTATCGAAATTAGGGCTTGGGCTATGGTAGGGTTTGGGTTAGCTCTGCTAATACCTCTTTTTTAAAGAAGATTACATTATTGTGGCATTATCAAACACTGGTATAAATATATATGGTTGTAGTCTTCTTTAAATGATTTAGAATTGAAATTTATCCTGAAAGTAGTATTTTCTTATTGAAAGGTTCCTGTTAAGGTTCCAAATGCTGAAGAAAAGAAAGAAAAAGTAGCTCCTGTCAGTGCTACAACTCCTGCCATTACATCTGCTCTAGCTGGCTTATTTGAAGCCAGACACCCATGGGCTAAAGAAGGTGGCCTTGAGTCAGGCTTAGGATTTAACAGATACAGTTCTGGTGGTCTGCTTGGTATACGTTCTGGGTTTTCAAAGTTGCCATCTTTTAAGGTATTATTTATACTAGTGCAATATCAAACACTTGTTTAAACTATTTTTAATTTGATTTCTTATAACTTGTCTGGATGTTTTCTTATAAGTTAGATATTTCTTTATATGTAATGTATAAATTTAGAACTTTAAAACGTAAAAGTTTAGAACTTTGTAATGAGTGTCTAGCTTTACTCATGTGGTCTGTAAAAGATGTCTGAAGTTTACATTGATTAAATTAATAGCGTGGGACTAATCAAACACTTATCCACATTGTTGTAGAAGTTCTTGTAATCAATTTCATACTTATTTGGTAGGGAATATTCAAACATTTTATTCAAATTGTTAAAGAAAAAAGCCCCAGAACCTACACCAGTAGAAGAGGATGAAGAAACACAAGATAATGCTACAGAAGGGAAGGTAAAGCATGATAAGAAGTTAGCATCAGAGGATGAAGATGATGAAGAAGATGATGATGAATCTGATCTTGAAGAAACCTCTAAAGCATTAGGCAAGAAGCCTCAGAGGAAAATCTACAGCTCTGATGAAGAATCTGATGATGAGAAAGCAGGTAGGACATTTAAAAAATGCTGTTGTTATTTAAAATCAAAACTGCAGTACATAATTTGTATTAGATTTATTTTCAAATATTAGTACTCTTATAGGTTATTGCTGGCTAAATTATTAGCTTTGGTACACCTTTGATTTGATGGCTACTTGTTCGGTAACAGCTCTGTGTAAATGATTTAACATTTAATGTTATTTATTATAAATAATGCATGGTTGTTCATGTGTGTACAAATCTGTTTCAGTACAAGTTGAAGACAAGGAAGAGAGTGAGGAAGAAAGTGACATGGAGAGTAGTGAAGACATTGAGAGCAGTGAGGAGGAGGAAGAGGAAGAAGAAAGTGAAACTTCAGAGGAAGAAATGTCAACAGATGAAGAGGAAGTAAAGAAAGAAATCAAGAAGAGTGAAAAAGTGGTTGAAAAAGATGAAATGTCCTCTCTGTCTTCACTTTCCTCTTCATCCTCATCTGAGGAGGAAGAAGAAGAGAAAATTGAAACCAAAGCAAAAAAGAGTTCAGATGATGAGTAAGAATGTGTTGTTTTTTGTTTTCCTGATTAAAACATCATATTTAATTTAAAAAACAACTAAAAATAACTTATTCAAAAGTGTGTACACAACTAAAATTCAGATTTGCAATCAAACACAATAACCCTTATTATAATTATTTTTTATAAATTTAATCTGTAGGGATGAAGAATCGGGAGAAATCAAGTCTGAAGAAGAAAGTGAAGAAAAAGAGTAAGTGTCCACCATTGTAGCATATAGCTAAAAATCTTTACTTATTATATATATTGTGTAAGCAAAATCATATGGTATTATCACAATTTTTAAAGTGTTTATTTATTTTATTCTAGAAATATTCACCTGTCTTTATAATTGCAGAGATTCAAGTGAAGATAGTAAAGCCAAATCCCCTGCCAGAAGCCTTTCTCCAATTAAGGAAGAAAACCATAAAAAGGACTCAGATACTGAATCCACTTCCAAAGAGATTATTGATGAAAAACATTTGTTTGAAGAGCCCAAGTATCGTCCTCCTGGACGTGGTCGAGGAGGCCGAAGAGGTAGAGGAGGCAGAAGAGGGAGAAGAAAGAGTAGTGAGTCTGATGATGATAGATCAGTTTACTATAAGCCTGAGGTGAAGGAAGACAAAATAGATGAACTTCCTGATTCAACGGATACAGAAGCTGCTAAAATGCTAATGGCACTGTCAAGACAAATGTCACCCAGAGCCCCAAGCCATACTTCAGGAAATGAGGATATGGATGACATTACTTCGGAGGACGAAGAACGTAGAAAATTTGTCAACTCTGCAATAGCAGAGCATGATTATTTTTCTACAAGACCAAAAGGCACAGAGGTGTCTGATTCAGACTCCACAGATTCTGCAGATGATGAGGCCATTCGTATCACTCAGGAAATTTGGATTGATCATAATTACTGCTTGCCGTCAGCACGTATGAATGTCAAGGAGCCTGAGGATACTAAGCATAACAGAAGTACAGCAAGAGGAAGGAAGGAAATGGAAGCCAAGATTGATGCCACCATAGATGAAGTTATTTCACTTGCCCACAAGAAATCCGAGCCAAAGAAAAAGTCCCCCGCTGCCAAAGAAGCTAAAAAGCCTAAGGGAAATAAAAAATTGACTGATGTGACAAATAGGCAAAAAATCAGCAGAGAGTTGGCTAACATTCTAATGGATGTTGAGCCGAAACCCAGAGTGACTTTTACACCGAGATCTATTCATGAGGAGAGACAGGTGTTCTTTGATATCTATCACCATGGTATGGATGATGAGGACATAAATTATCTGAAGAGGACATATGATTCCTTGATGCAGTCAGATGATCCAATGTTCTACTGGCTGAATGACATCTTATGGGTTGATCATCCACACACAAGGATACCTGATCCACCTCGGAAGCGAAGGAGAGTTGAGGAGAATACTCGTGTTCACAAAACTGGTGAGTACTGCATTCAATGTTATTTTTAAAATTCTTATTTTACACGATTATCCGATTTTTCTCCTTAGTACAAATGCACTTAGATTGGCATATATTGGTTATACCATAATTTGTTGACTGTGCCAAAATTTAATTAATGAAAAATTAAAAAAATGAGATAACCTAAGCTCTATAAAGTAATTTCAGTGCAATATTAATTGTAATAATTTTGGTACATGATCTGTTTTTTTTTACTCACTGGCAACGTTAAATAAGTGAAGTGTAGTAATGCACATAATCTGTTGAGGATAGATTACTTTGTATATATGTAAATTTGATTCAAGAAGAATTTATGGTAAACATGATTTCTTTCTTTAATTAGAATAGGAATGATTTAAGAGTTGTAAAGGTATTAATTGCCTATAATAAAAATATATTTAACAAATACCTAAACTGCAATTTACACTGGTAAAAGTTAATTCACACCTTGGTACTATATAAAAAAAAATGTAAAATAGACCTTTTAAAAAATAGGGTATTTTCTTATGGAAATCTAAAGGCTTTAAAACAGAAACTGTTTTGTTCAGCACACATTGCATAATCCAAGGAAGGAACTTTGCAGCTTGTTAACCATGAAAAAACAATATAAATTTATAAAGGCCATATAAAGTGCATTTTTTTGTTCTGCTAATTGGATGTTCTTTTTCTGTTCATTTAAAGTTTTGTAAAGCAAGCAAAAACATACATATTGTATATTACATTTTAATTCAGTTTTAGAAATTAGTGTACTGTATCATATATTGAATAATTTTTTTAGTGTATTGTGTTGTATTATATTGTAATGTATCATATCATAATTTTATCATTCATGTTGTGAGGTGTATTTGTATGTTATTATAATTGGGAAAGCTGATAGTAATAGGACATAGTCGGAAAGTGGGGGAGGGGTATTGGGATTGGAATTAAAGATGTCTGGGATCTGGTTGTTTGAGCTAGGAAGCAGATTTTGAACATGCTTTCCTAAAAGAAGGAGCACTGATTGGATTACAGTGTAACATACATTGTGTGGTTGTGCTCTGTGTTCATGGTGTTATGTATGCTGTTTTATGTTAGTGTACTCATCTGTATTGTATATGTTGTGAGATAGTGTGGCCTTATCTATGCTTTAAAGTGGTGTCTTCTGGTTGAACATGGGAAGCATGAGGGTCAGACAGAAAATGTGGAGTTAAATTTGGTGGAAAGGTAGCTGGGTAGAGATATTGGAGCTGGTGAAGCTGTGGTTGGGAGGTTGTGGTTGTTTATGTGCTTTCCTGTTTACCTTTTTCCTGGTCTAGTTCTGTTAAAATAAAGCTATTTATTTACAGGATGTGCAAGAACTGAGGGACATTACAAAATAACACTGGATGAAAAAATGAAATATTTAACCAATACAAAGAACCTTGCTCTTCACCAGCAAAAGGAAGAAGATGCAGAAAAACAAATGGTAGGTACTTTTTAGCGCAATTTCCATACGGACAATTGCGATTATTAAGTCGTTATTTCTGGATGGATGGATGTCCGCAATGGATGGATGTGTATCTCCTCAACGAAGCAATATCGAGGACTAGTTCCAAAAGCAAATATGTTAAGCAAGTTCCGAGGATGATTGTGGGCCAAAAAAATTCCCGGAATTCCTTCCTGGATTTCCCGGAAAAGCCAAAAAAACCTCGAAATAAATGCAGTTTTTGGCCCATATCTCGGCAACCAGACCACTTAGCGACTTGAAACATTTACCAATTGATTCCTGCCATAATTTAGAACAATATTGCCGAAGAAAGTTTTCAAAAATATCCTTTCGTTCTGTCACAAAAAATTAAGGAAATTGCGCTTAAATTGTCACTAGACTTTTTATTAACTTGTTTTGTAAAATACAGCCAGAAAACTCATTTTCTTTTCAGGCCTGTGTTGTAGAATGATAGGACAATAATTTTGCATTTTATTTCACTAAATGTAGATTTACATTTTATTCTTCTGAATAATAATTGTATTTAAATCTGCTTTATCAGGAGGATGTTAAAAAGAAACAGACTTCTCGAGAAGTGCGTAGTGAAAATCGTCGACTACAGGCAGCAATAGCACTCTTTCAAGAAAATTTGGAAGTCAGCGACTTGCTCAAATTTAATCAACTCAAGGTATGTACACTTGCAATAAACATTTTGTAACTAAGTTTATCTTATTTCTAAGTAAATTATAGATTTTTATTAAACTTTGTCTTTAAAATGCATTTTGCAATACATTTTCAGTTCCGTAAGAAGCAATTACGATTTGCTAAATCTGGCATTCATGACTGGGGTCTCTTTGCAATGGAACCTATTGCGGCGGATGAAATGGTTATTGAATATGTTGGTCAGGCCATCAGACAACCCATAGCCGATTTGCGAGAAAAACATTATGAACAGACTGGAATAGGAAGCTCATACTTGTTTCGTGTGGATCATGAGACGATTATTGATGCCACAAAATGTGGAAATCTGGCTAGGTTTATCAATCACAGTTGTAATGTAAGTAACAGTTATTTTTGTTTACTGTGGATAAGGTCAGTGTTGAGGTGTAGTTTGAGATATTGAGAAATTCTTGCACAAAGTATCTTGTTAAGTATTATCAGTAAGAATGAGAATGATTCTAAATTTCATTTTAACCATTAATGTCCCATTCATTCTACCAAAACTCCACCCATGACGGCCCAATGTAAGGAGCATAACTCTGTATGATCAAGTGAATAGTTTCACAAAATATTTGTTTTTGTCTAAATGAAATTGAAAATTAAGATAAAAACTACTGCATAATGTTGGGAATAAACCTGGCTTTCCAACAGTATTAAATAGAATATATTATATTCGGTACAAGTACAGTATAAAAATAAAAATGTCGGAGAAAATTCAAAACAGGTCATTTTCGGTAGTCAACTTTATTTATTTTTGTCTAAACAACTATGCATCGAATTTAACAGTTAAATATCAATTTGGTTATGTTTAAGATATATAATTCATAAAATACATGCCTAGATACGTTTAGAGGGATTATTTTATTTTATTTTTAATATTAAATCTACTAAAAATAGGACAGATGAGTCTAAAATTTCGAGATGGAAAGAAACTATTATTTTTTATCTTTCAAAAGCGCCATTGAAATTAGAAGACCGGAAAAGGATGCTGAAACTATCAGACTTCCTGTTTAGTTAAAAATTAGGATTTGTAGGCCAAATTTTAATGAAACAAATTTAATTTTTCTATGCGTATTGTAAGCGGGCGGCAGCGGGCGTTACGGGACATTAACGGTGTCGGGCGGCAGCGGGCGTTACGGGACATTAATGGTTAATAGCATAATTTTGCTGTTAAATTTTAGACATTTAAATATTGAAAATATACATTTTAAAATCATCATCACCACAATAACCCATGGCTGCCTTAAAAAAATGTTTAGTAAAATAAGCAGAGGATTTTTTAGAATAGGGTTTTTGTAAAAAGTATTTTACACCTTTTTTTTAGTAAAAAGTTATCAGAGTCCAATTTGAATTATCACTATTTATCTGCATAAATATAAGTGGCTATGTTACTGATACTAAGATTTTTTAAATTTGTAGCTACAAAAAAATCAAATTATTAGAACGTATTATTCTTAGTTGCCTCGTTATTAATTTATAAATAACTGCTTGCATTGTTGTATTATTTCTATGACTAGAGCCATTGGGAATTTTTTGTGGAAAAAAGATTTAGATTCAATTGAGAAACTGTCAGTAAAAACATTTTTGGGGTTAGAGAAAGTTCACTTTATAGGCTTAAGCACCTTGAAACTTGTGGGAAGTGAGAGAGGGGGCGGTTGTTATGGAAAGCAAAAGTAAAACCTCTGAGACGTGATCATTGTAACAAGGATATCAAAGTAGAAAAATTATGGTAAAAATAGTACAAGTAGGCATTGTAGTATAACATTTTGCATTTAGTAAGCTGTTAAGATTTGTGTGCAAGCTTATGTGTTAACTGAAGTTCTTGTTAATTGCACACTTTTAAGCTGTTTAGTATGTGATTTAATTTTCCTTTCTGTTTACAGCCAAACTGTTATGCAAAGATCATTACAGTGGATTCTCACAAAAAGATTGTAATCTACTCCAAAAGAGATATTGATGTTAATGAAGAGATCACCTATGATTACAAATTCCCATTTGAGGAGGACAAAATTCCATGTCTATGTGGCTCTCAAGGCTGTAGAGGATATCTTAACTAATGGTAGAGTTAGCATAACTAGTTGTCTTACTGTTATCACATATTGTACATTTGCTTATCAGGTCTGTGAATTGACTTGTCATACATTGCCAGAGAGATCAAATGGTGGGACCCGACTTTATTGTTGAACTAAGTAAAAGATTAATCAGAAGTTACAGATTATATATGTATTGGGATATCTGTAGCTTGTTTTAAAGAGAAAAGAATGAGTTCATGAGCAGCAGAACTAGAGGAGCTGTGCTGTATGACATTTTGTCATCATTGCTGTGGTTGATGTTGTTGGGGGAACAGCAACACCTTCAAGATGTTTGCCTCAGAGTCTACTAAACACTGAACATTTTTTGAGCAGCTATTAGAGAAAATGTGTGCTGACTAAGGATGTAATAAATCAAAATAATTTAATTGGAAGTTAAGAGGGGAGTTAGCTTTCAAGTTAAAAACAATATCTGTGATTACTGTTCCATGTTGAACATTGTGGAGCTTGAGAAAAATGTTACAGTATAAATCAAGTATCATTAATAAATCATCACACGAACATCCCACTCGTTTCATATGAACTGCTGAGTTGTTTGTACATGTAATAAGATGTAGCAATGTATATCCGAACCATGTCATATATTTATTTAACCATGTAAGAAATATTTCTCATCTATTTTAGACAGATCTTTTTTAAATTACTTGACCAAGTGCAATTTCATTAGGTTTTCTAGCCATTTTCATTTAGTGCTCATAGTCCCCATGTTGAATTTAAAAAAAAGATTTATAACTTGAATGGCTTGATTAATGCTGTAATCTTTTTTTGTACTTAGAATTTCCTTTCAGTTATGGACCATTGATTTATCAATCATACATTTTCATTCATTTGATATTAATAACATTATTGATAGCAATGGTAACACCAGTGACAATCGTTTGGCTAAATTGATGAATGTTTCTTTGTTTTCCATTCTCATTAGACTGCTGGCTCATTTCCTGTAAATGCTGTATTTAGTCCCTTTTTTAAGTAATATGAAATAGCTGTGTATGTTTTATAAAGGCAAGTTAGATTTAAAAAAAAACAATTTCTTAGTGTGTGTCATTTGTAAAGACCTACCTTGTATAAACATTAAAACATTTCTATCTGCCTGGTATAAGATTTTTTTCTTGCCTTCTTAGAATAGTTTTAGATTTAAAGCTATTTTGTTTTGGCCTCATCAGATAAATCTCTTACATCTGGTGGTTTGACCCATACAAGAGGTGTTTCTAACATTACTTCAATGTGCCTCAGGTGCTTGCAAGGTGTTACGTTAAAGAAATCATCTGAGCTCAACATTAAATACATGAAATTTCAGATTAGAACAATTTTTTTTTGCATGAATGTTGACATTTCTTCCTGCTAATATTTCTTCCAGGCTCTGTTAATGTATTTTTTGGGGCAGCATCTTCAGTATTGAGGTTTGCATAATTTAACTAATAAAAAATATGATACACTGAATTATATATAGAAATATATGTAGATTACTTGAAAACTCTAATTGTATGGTGCTTACTTACATTTCTGATTAGATAGCTTTTGTTTTTCTTTTTGTGATTGCAGTGCTTTTATGGCAGTTTTATGTCCCATATTTTTTGTCTTGTCTACATGATTTCTGAGATAAAAACTCATCCATCTTCCAATTAAGTTTTATAAAAATATAAATTTTTGCATTTAATGTTTATATTGGCCAAGTAGAGACAGCAAGTCAAGATAAAAAAAAAATTAGACCATTTCCATCTGTACGATTAATGTTGCCATATGATACGTCCTATTGTTGTACCCAGTTGAATTAAATGTATTTGTAGAAACTGTTTAGTATATAGGCTGTGTTCTTTTTCTCTCTACACTCTGTATTATTTACAGTATATTGCTTCATTTTTTTGCTGAGCATTTATTTAAATTTAATGAACTGCAACAATAAGCTTATCATGTCCCTATAATATTCTATAAACAACTTTTAGTTTGTGTTGTTTTGGGGAGGGGGGGTTTACTCTTAGGTTTTCTGTTTTATTAATCCTAACCTTTTTTTTTAAATAAAAATTATCTTGACCAATTTTTCATGGTCCCTGTAAATAATCTTTGATAATAATGTTATTGCATTAATCATTATGTAAATGAACTCTTGTATAAAATGTATTTGTTGTGCAGATGTAAATATTATGTACAGTTGACTATTTCTATGAAAATGTGGAAAATAAAATCTTGCTGGAAACAAAAAAATAATGCTAAAAATTTTTTTTCATTATGTATTTAGATTTCATTACATGAAGATAACAGAAAAAAAAAAAATTATTACTTTAGCAACTTTTTTCGCAACTCGTATAAAATAATGCTTCCAGCTATACCAGTATTCAGGCTGTTGACAAACTCTGTCATTGGTATAGTCACGTACTGTCCATAGTGATCAAAGGCAAATCTTTTTGCTAATGCACTGAGTCCTTCTGTCTCCCCACCAACAACTAAAGCAACATGTGGCCGGCCCTGGTCTGGGGGGAAGTTGATCTTAATATCAGAATATTCACTGACCACCAAGGGTACATTGTGAAATGGATAGGCCTTGTCTTCTGCATGTTTATCCACTGAGATCTTTCTCATCTCCGACTCCATGGCATCATTATCTTTTTCATATTCATTATCAGAATCAGACAAGTCTAGATCCTCTGAAACTTGTTGAAAAAAGGCAATGAAAATTTACTTTGTGAAATTCTGGTTAAAAAATGTTATAATGTTAAAAAAAACAATAAATATACTCATATGAGAAATTTTTTAAATACATAAATCACATTACCTAAGTAAGGTACCCTTTTATGACCAAAGGACCATGGAGGCAGACCTCAAAATAAGAATAGATTATGTGGACAACAGAATGCCCAACCACCTTTACTTTACCTAAGTCAGGTACTCATCAGAGCTAGGTGACATATTCTAGATGCTGAACTGTGTTTTAGTCACATTGTTTTAAAAATGTGTATCCTTATCAGTAAATTTTACCAAATTTTGCATATATGATCAGCCATTATATGAGTCTTAAATGTTCAGTGTGCACAGTATGCTAAATCAGAGGAAGTAAATGTATTGGAATAATGTAACTTTTAAATTCAGTCTGCTGAATTAACTTAGTATTTATAAATCAATAAAATTAATAAGCATTAATTGAGGAATATCTCCCCTAAGCTTACTGCATACAATTATTAAAATAGACTGTACCTTGTAAATCTTCAAGAGCCATTTGTTGGTCAAAAGATCTCTCCAGTATATGAGATGGCCTTGAATTGGCTAGAAAAACTTGTGTGCCTTCTGTAACATAATTATGAACCTCCGACCAGCTGAGTCCAGAGTAGATTGGAACACAAAAGTGCCCACCCATAGCAGATCTAATAACCTTGCCCTCCCACACATTCACACTGCCTGAAAAGGTGCACAAGAAAATAAGATAATTATATTAACTATAAACATTTGGCTCAAATCAAAATATTGAAAATTATCACACCAAATGGGTGGACCATTTGTTTAATCAAAGTACTTAATTTAAGCCAATTTAATGAAACCTGTACACTTAAATATTGGACTGCTAGTTCAACATTAAAATATTGAAAATTATCACACAAAAAGTTTAATCAAACTAATTAACAAAAATAATTTAATTAATGACAACTATACACAACATGTAGCACATCCAACAGCCATATAACTTAATTAACAAAATTAATAACTACTGTACACTACCTGTAGTCGTTATGATACGTTCACACCCAACAGCCGCAGCAGTACGAATCAGTGTCCCAGCATTTCCAGGGTCCTTCAAGCTATCAAAGATAAGTGTAATGGGGACTTGCTGTTTGGAATGTGCAAGCACTTCCCCAGGCTGTGGCTTATCAAACAAGCCTAGAAAGATTTTCATTAACATGTTTATTTGCATTTGTAGGTGCCATGCCAGAAATTTATATTTGTACTATTGCACACATTTTTTTAAAAAATGACTAGAATAATCAATATATCAAAATGCTTTGATTGTGATTACAAGTAAATAGTAATAATTCTTACGAACAAAATTAATAAAGGATCTAAGATAAATATAATAGCTCTAGCTGTAAATACAGAGAACATTTTGAAAACAAACCAACTATTAAAATTTTTTTTTCTGATAGATGGTTCATTCACTTTAGAAAATAATAATACCAGCAACATTTATTAAAAATACTCTTTAATGATAATTCTTGTAAGTAAAACGAAATTCATACCTAAAATACCAGATGGTGTTTTTGTGTCTGACCATACTTTCATGTCCCGGTATAAAATCTTGTATAAATTCACATCTTGAAGAAGTTCCGGAGTGAGCCCATCCAAGACATCAAACTCACAAAAATATATGCACTTAGCTTTGGCACCCATTTTGAGAGCATCTTTGATTAGTCTTTGGCCTTCTAAGACAATAAGATCTGAAGTTTTGTTGTGACCAGTAGATTTTGCTTCAATAACGGTTCGGCTAATGTGAAAAAAATGGTAACACTCAACTTATAAAATGAACATAAACTATGCCATAATCTATTACTATATTTAAAAAAAAAAATACATGATTTCCTAGTTGTGTCAATATGCTATGTGAGGTCTAGTTGAGTTAACAGGAAAAATATATTAATAAGCAGTCTGTTTAGGTGTGTGGTTAGTATCTGTCATCTCTAGTCCAAGGCATATAATAATATGTTACAGAAACTACAAAGCTATATTTTAAAAGATAAGTGGGTGGTACTTCTGAGGCTATAAACAAATTTTGACCATTTGTATCCTTAGCAGAATGTCTCCCAGGCCTGGCCTCAACCAACTGGTGGGTTTGTTGCAATATACAATCTATTCTAAATCATCCATTTGTAATTGTCACTATTGTGCAAATGCTATTGATTGAAATGAAACAGCGCCAAAAATTTGATAGAAAAAAAAATGAAACTAAAAGTAAAAGTGATCAGAACACTGTGCGATAGGGGAGGTAATTTAACTCATAAATGGGACTAACAAAAGTAAAGTCACTTGAGTTTTAAAATTTTATAATTTAGGCCTAAATACTAATGGAGGCGAGCGAGTTGACGAGAATCCTTTCATCGTGTTGTTGACATGGAATAAAAACATGCTTTTTTAGATTTTGCAAACAAAGCGACCGTAAAAATAATAAAAAATAAAAACTTAAGCCTGAGATTAATTGAGAAAATAAAATTGATGGCAGCCTATTGAATAGCAGGATGCCATTCTTTATGTTGCCATTACATGTGAAAACCAAATTGTTTTTGCTTTTTTTAAAATTTTTAATTATTTACTAATTTAGTTATCAAAAATATTAATAACATCAAATAATAGGGCCTACATCCAATCTTTAATAAAGTCCGAAAAAGACCAGACAGACAGGATTTTATAACCATATTAATTAATTGTAACTACGCCCTGCATGATTTTTAAATTATATAATGGGCCTCTCGAATACTTTCTCGCTCGCATCCATTCTAGGCCTAGAATTCTATAAAAAAAAATAGTTGTCTTACCCTAGTCTAGCATCACCTTCTTTTAATGTTTCGTACATTAGTCCTGAGGGAGTTTTCTGTAATGCATTTGCTGCACTATGTTTAGAAATCTCATGAAGCTTTTGCTCATAAACCTTTTTGTTTACTTCATTCAGTTTAAATAACTGATCTTTTTCATTATTGAGAGTTTTGACTGCATCTTCTTGAACTGGGTCACCAGGAAAATATGGATACTGAGTATTTTTTCTAGGATCCATAGGTTTGACCTTTTTCTTTTTCTGGCTATGTACTTTATGTAGCTTTACAGAAGAAATATGTAGATACGCATTATTCAGTACTCGCAAGTCTTCTCTGAAAGTACCAAAAGATTGTGAAACTTTAAAGAGTCTGCAGTAACTCAACCTTGTGATGGAGGCTGCCATTTTTAAAAATGTATAAAACTCCAACCAATAATAACAAACTCTTAACGGAGTAATTTTTAAAATAGCAGTAGGCACAACGATAACAATATAACATTTTTTGTTTGGAGGGAATCGTCGTCCATGCATAGTGCCTAACGTCAAACTTTTATTTTCATAGATTTCTTTTAATATATTTTTTTAGCTCCGTCAACATTAATAAATTTCTAAATAAATAAGATCTATAATTAACAAAAAATAGCCTTTTATCCTTATAATGCTTTTACTTAAAGTCACAAAGTGTGTCGTCACACTTTTTTTCTTAATCCCCCTCCCTCTCGTCGCACAAAATTCCAACCCCTCCCCACCAAACAGGAATGTGACGTCATTTATAGACCATCCCCATCAAGCAGAAAGAAATGCAAATTATAAAATAAAAAATAATAGGACGCATAAATATTAAATAGACATTTGTTTTAAACAGCATTAACAATCGGTTTATCAATCACAAATTATTTGACTAAAAGCAAGTTAACGCTACATGTTTTATTTGCTCTAAATAAAAACATTCTTGGAAACTAATCTACAGTATTTAATACAAACAATATCAATAAACAACACCGTTAATAATTTGAATGTTTTCATATAGCAGACGAAAGCTGGGTATTCTAATTTTTTATGTCGGTTTAAAATTAGTTACTGAAAAGTTTTTACTATTTATTTTATTTTTAAGAAGGCCTAAAAGTTTTAGGCTAAAACTCACCAGTAACTAATAAATGTTATTATAATGTTACTGAAGAAATTATCGATCAAAGGCCAACAACTCAGTATAAAACACAATTTTTATTGACTCAAGAGTTATCTTGACACAATACACTGAAAAGAATGCACCTTTTTGAAACTTTTTTCTTATCACACACTATTATATAACATAATCTTTTAAAAATAAAAAGACTGAAGACATAATGAGATTCAAAATAACTTTATTTGTACATATTTGGCATGATACATGAACACGTTAACAATTTAAAAGATAGTTATTTAAATTAAATATTGAATATATTTTATTTACAGAATTAAAATACTATTAATACTATTAAAATTGCAACTTTTGATTTAAAAATGTTTTTTTTAAAGTTACATTGCTTTTTTTTTTAAATTTAAAAACAAGATGTTGACTCGAATTAAATAAAATAACTAAACAGATTATTATTATGAAAGAACTACAACCTTTATAAAAATATTAGACTGATCTCTGTGAAATGAACTGCTAGTTATTTAAAAAGTAGGCTGATCACTAAGAAAAATAAAACCTCTTCAATTATATATAAATTACAATGATTTTTTGTGACAGCTATGATGAAACAATAATAAAATGGATGCAACATATATTATATTCTAGTCAGTATTGGCAGTTATAACAATTTTTAACAAAATTATGTATAGAGGGTCAACATTCTTCACATTTTTATTATTATCAATTATGTTTTTCTAAAAAAAACAATGAGTATACATAGTTGATATAATACTGTACAACATACAAAACTTAGACAAAAATGTCTGTGTGATCACAAAAAAATGGCATACAATTTTAAAATGTAACTTTCCAACAGACAGTTTTGAAAAACAAACATCACCACTGGGCTGAAATATTGCTGGAGGGGGAAACAAACACCTCATATTGAAGGCAGATTCAATGTTAAACAAGTTTGGTTTTGTACAGAAAGTGTTGTGTACCAAAATAAAGTCAAGAAAATCCATCAAATTACCAAGTGGAAATCTTCGTTGAAATCAGTATCCAAGGAAAGACCAGGAGTGTAAAAAAAATCTTTAGGATTCTTATCTTTAAAAAAAATGACAACAAAACCCAGATATTCAGTGTCATATATATATATATATATATATATATATATATATATATACATATAAAATAAAAGAATAACAATCTTTTAATTGTATGTCTAGTACTGATGTCAAACCTAAACATTTCCATGATGGAAATCTGTAACGTCGTTACTAAATAAAATATTTTAATAAATAACTTTCATTATTTGTAACGGCTCAGCATTTTTATTTTCTTCTCAATTTATGTTTATTAAAATCTAATTTAGTATTAATTTAGCAAGGGATGGTAGTGTATATAATAAATACAAAAACTAAAAAAAAAACGTCACAGAAAAATCATCAACTTGCCAAAAATTATAAATCCTTTAATATATCACAAAGACATGTTCGAATCAGTCAAACTAACTCCCGATAAATCCTGACACACGCGGGAGTCACTCATTTCATCGGCCAGCGCATCAAGGACGTCCAGAAGCAACTCGCGGCTCAGTCTTCGCAGTGATGGTAGCCTTGCAGCCTGTAGGCATAAAACATTACATTATTTTATTCTGAGTTTGAAAATTTAAATACTTCAAACTTAAAAACCGTTATTTTATACTGGGTTTAAAATTTTAAATGCTTTAAACTTTAGAATCATTATCATTTTATTCTGACTTTGGAATTTTTAATTCTTCAAACTTTAAAACATTTTGATTCAAATAATACAGCACTGTTGCCTCTTAAACAAAAAAAAATTTTGCAAAACTTATTTTTTTTTAAATTATGGGAGTATGTATTTAGAAATAAAATATTTTTGATACAAAATTGTGAAGCAACATATAGATGGATGAGAAAAAATAATTTAAAAAAACAACCTAAAAACTAACATTTTTCAAGGAATGCATTATCAAGAATTTCATGGGAGAAATAATATATTTATTAAAATTTAAAAAATATTAATGATGATTATCACAATTAGTTACCTGCAGTTAATGTTAATAGCTTAAAGTAATTTAACATGAAATGGAAGTGTAGTGACAAGACAAGTTAATTTACCAGAGGTGAAACATCAAATAGCTTTAAAGAAAATAGAAACATATTCCTGGAAAATTAACTGAAACAAAATCTGAACATCTCACCTTGGTAAAGTGATGGACAATAATACTCAGGGCATGTTTCTTCATGTCTGTTGCTTGGATTTTGTCTGCTGCTTCCAAGATCTGAAAAAAAACAATAAAGAAAATGATAAACTTTTAAAGTTACAGCTTTTAATAACTTTTTGTGATTGTTTCATTTTATTTTACTTTTGTCTGTATTTTAAGCAACTGTGTTAAAGCATTTTATATCTTGATTTTTGAAGAAATAATAATAATAATAATAAATTTTAAATAGTTGAGTATTTGGTTAGTTTGGAGAGTAGGGTCAATGCTAGACCAATAAAAACAGAATAATAAAAATACTATCATTGTTTCCTATTAAATAAAAGTAGTCTAATAGAAATGGGTAACTAGTCATATTAAACAGATAATAACAAACAGATAAAACTAACCTGGATGACATTTTGGTAGGATACATTCATCTCTAGATTATGTTTGCAGAAAGCCTACAACAAAACAAAAAAAAATCATTATTTTGTCTTTCTAAAATTTAAATGAAAATAATTTCTAAAGTAAATGTATATAAAAAAAGTAAAGTGAAGTTCCCTTTATGAACCTGATGGCCCATGCTGAAATAAAAGTAGACTTTATCTGTATCTGTGACCTCAACATATAAAGGGATAGTGTGGTCAGCACAATGCCTTTACTTTCTTAGTGTGTTAGGGACCCATCAGAGCTGGGTGGACTCAGGGAAGCTCTACCGACTTGAGCCTAAATTCGAACTCTAGACTTTCCGGTTGGCAGTCTAGCACTCTACCACTAGACCACGTTGTCCCATATATAAGTATATAGTATAGACAAAGAGTTGACCTGTAGCCTGTTGTTTGTGAATCCATAAAAATACGGAGCAGCAAAGAGATAGAGGGAGTCCTCTGGGGGCATGACCACATCTCCATGGTAGATGTATCTCAGCAGACTGTCAAATGCTTGGCGGGATGGTATCATTTCTCCTATTGCAATCTGCAGGAGAAAAAAAAACATTTAATAGTACCGTACATTTCTTAAATTCTAAAAATTATTTAGTTTTATAATAAAATAAGGTATGATACTCTAATAGTAGGGACAAGGTGGTCGAATGGTAGAGTGTGCAACTGCTAACCAGAAAGCCTCTCATTCGCATCAAAGATGTCTCTGAATCAACCCAGCTCTAATGGGTACCCGACTCATATAAAGGCGGCTGGGCTTACAGCTGACCACACTATATCCCTTCATGTGCCAAACTCTACTTCACCTGCCCCATAAGGTTCGAAGATGTTTTTTTTTCACACCATTAGTGAAATTTTTTTTGAAAATTTAATTACAATTTGATTTATTTTAATTTTAAAAAATTAAAATACAGTTATATCAGTAAAACTTTGTACGAATAGCCATGGGTTTGTTCAAAGTATCAATATAGTGTTGAGTTAATTTGAAAAAAAAAAAAACCTTAAGTCTTACATTAGCCATAAACAGATGACTTACATTTACTAAATTATCCTGTGGAGTAAAAGATCGGAACATAGCCTCAAAGTAGCTGCTACGAGCCCCGAGAATGGCCTTGTGGGACGGAATATGGATTCCATCTAAAACCAGAGTGATGTCACAAAACTCTTGGCCACCAACTCTGAACTGGGCCAAGTCTTGTTCCAATGAGTTGCCTGCATGAAAGTAAAAAATTTTTTTTGTAGAAACCACAAAATAATTTAGGAGTAGATACATTATTAATTTTATTAATTTCTATAGGTCATTTAAAATAGTTATAGCATCATAAAGCTTCCTGGAATAAAAAAAAATAATTAAGATTTTGTTATAAGAAAAACTATACTTAAAAAAAAAACTACAAGAAATAGTATTGTTAATATTTGCTTTCAAGCAGGTTTTAAATTTAAATAATCAGACTTGAATACCAACTTCCATTTTAAGATTTAACGATTAAATGCTTCTCGAGCAGATGCAAATAATATCAACCACTTAACTAAATCTACAACTACTATGTATGACATAGAATTTTAGAATGAAAAAAAACAACAAATGTAGGTTTTACTTGCTAATGGCTCAGGCTGTGGGTCAAGGAGACGAACTGGTGGTTCTAATTTTCTCCTAATTATCTCCACAATCAGAGGCTTGTCCAGGGTTTCAAATTCTTTGCTCATCACTATCTGGTTGTAGTTGGCCTCTTTCACAATGAACCTCAGACAAAATCCCTGCAGTGATAATGTTACATTGTATCAGAGCCAATACATGGTGTGATTATTCATTCCGACATGCATAAAAATAATAAAATGCATTTTTTTCACTAAAAACTATAATCTGGATTAAACAACTGTATTCTACATCAGTAGATAATTTGTTTCCTAGAAGCTATTTTGTATCACTGAACTGCAAGCATTCACAAGATGTATGCATAACCAAGCTTTTAAATATTAAAAATGACATATGTAAATACAGATTAGTGGAATATTATAGCATACCGATAATCTGCAATTACAACTAAATAAGCAACCTGTTATTGTTGATAAATTGACTATCATTTATGATGTATGAGATTTCAATGTGCTGCATATAAATCATAATAGAAAATAAGAAACTTGATTTTCATGAAATATTAGGCAGCAATTGATCTCTAGCTTAATGCATCCTTAAATAAACCCCGGCCACTAACCTCCTCACCATAGCCCTACTATATCTAAGCCTGTATTCAGCGTAGTGTAACTGGTAATACCAGCAAGCATTGATTAAGTTTGACTGTGGCTACAAATACCAACCAATGAGGTCTAACACTTTAGAACAGACAGAAAACTTGAATGCTATATTGAAGTATGTAAGGACGGTGTATTGAATGGAAGATCTTACAACTGTTAACCAGGAATTCTCGAGTTCGGATCCCGGGCTTGAGATTGTAGGACATCCCCAAGTCCACCTAACTCTGATGGGTACCTGACTCACATTAGGGGAACAAAGTCGGCTGGGCATAGTGCTGACTACGCTATCCACACTACTGAAGCATGAGACTCTTGTGATTATGATACTGTGTTGATTATTCCATTGTAACACATCATGCACCCACAGCTGAGGACAACAAAATACCTTTAAGAAGTCAAGCTGTAGTCTGGCAGCATTTTGCAGGGCAAATAGAACACTTTTGATACCTATACTTGCTTCCAGAAACTGGACACACAGATGTTGCAAACGACCCATTTGTAACTGTAAGGAAACAAACATTTCTTTAGAATATAATACATTCAAATTAAGAATTATAGTTAGTAAAGACCCAATCATCATCATCACATTTTCCCATTTGTGCCCAAGACACATGGGGCAGATGAAGTAGAGGTTCATCTGTTTCAATGATTTCGGCATATGAAAGGATAGTGTGGTCAACACTATGCCCAGCTGCCTTTGTTTCCTTAACACGAGCTGGGTGGAATCACTGAAATCCTACAGATGTGAACCAGGGATCTTAACTCAAGACTTAAGTGTAAGCAGCTGTAAGTTCTAAAAGACCCAATCACATTCACAAAATGTTGGGATTTGGTGGCAAAGTTTAGCTGTCCAATCTCCCCCATGTGAGGCCTGAGTGCCTAGGGTTTTTGCTGACCTGAATTCAAACACAGAGCATTCATGTGACTAGTGATTGGTACATAGCTTGACCACAGTGGATGATACATCATTAAAAAGTAACAAACATCTATTCATATAAAAATGTAAAAAAATGTGAAGAATATAAATAAACAAGCTGTTAACTGTTACCTGTAGAGATAGTCTATAAACTTCCATCATCGCAAGTATCACATCATTATTGTTGCTGTCTTGTCCTATAGAAAAATAAACAAGTATTAGTGACTATAACAGCTAAGGATTGGACAAAGTGGAAGATATTGGTTGAGTGCCTAAACTCCACACAGAGTCTAGCAAGTCAACAATAATGTTATTCAATACTTGCTTCAGCAGGCTTCATGTTACAACAAGATATTAATATTTAACATATGTAATTACAAACTAAATACTTAAGAGAAGAATATATCCTGCATTGAACCAAAGTTAAGACAATAAAAGATACATTAGAACTAACATAATAAATGACATTATTAATATCAGGTTAAATAATAAAAATAAATTTGTCACATTGAGGTTTTAATATTGCTTTGATGTGGAACTACATATGAATGAATCAACACCATTTCTACCAACAGTAGCCAGGGTACTTGCCTTTTTTGCCAGGTTGGATTTTATCAGTGTAAATGTAGGAGAGAATCATTTCAAATGCACCTGGGTCCTTGTCTGGCAGCAGAACTTCAAGCCTGCTTGTGTCCCCTTTGATTGATTGCTGGGAACAGAAGAAGTCACAGCTAATAAACTAAACAAATGTTTGATTGTATTTTCAAGGAGTTGTGTCCCCTGTGACTATTTGCTAGGAACAAAAATAAAGCACCGATCTTTACCTCAACAAATTTATGTAAATGTTAAGATTTGAAAAAAAAAAACAACCTCTAACTATTAGTAAGGATATAATAAAATGGACTGACAATGTCAAAAACAAACTCAATGAGATGATTTGATGCTGTCAACACATGTCATTAGACAACTGCTTAGCTGGCATAATACACCTAGAGCACTCACATTCACAAATGTGTAAAAAAAAATCCAATCTGCAAATACATCTTTACACTAAGACATGTATTCTTTACCCACCTGTGTTTTTGATTGTCTTATCTTGTCTCGTAACCATGGAGACCTAGCAGCAACTAAAGCTATATGAGCAGAAATTTTTCTTTGGTCCTAGACAAAATGGGGAAAAACAATACATTTATATACAATATTTGTTTTGAATAATTTGCTATTTATATATGTACGAGCCGACACGCAACGTATCATATGCCGCTATTTAGTTGTTTTATTTTCTACTTTTCAGTAATTCACAATTTGTGAATTCGACAGTACCAATGCTGCCACTGAATATATTTGCTTTAAAACACTAAAACCCTCATTTCCCCCAACCCCTTCCCCCCACCCTTGTGAAAGCAGCCTCCCCTTAGTTACCTCCCCTAAGTTTAAAATTGTTTCAAACTAAATTAACTGCCCCTAATAGCCCTCACTAAACCCGGCTCTATGATTGTAAACATTTGGCGTGAACCACAGCTCACCAGACCATGTAGGGGTGGGGGTGGTAGGGGGCGGGCTTACAGTTTGGTGTTTTCTATGGTCTCCAAGAAGAGAATTATATATATATATATATATATATATATATATATATATATATATATATATATATTGTTTTATAGTCTATGATCCTCCCCTGATTATTTGCCTTTTGTGAGAATGTATTATTATATACAGCAAAAAAAAATTTAAACCATGAATAAAAAGTAAACAATATACAACTTTGTAAAATACTAATTTTTAAAAATTGTTTTTTTTATTCACAAAAATATTAACTGATTTCTTTGTCTAAAATTACAAAAATATTTAAGTAGAAGAATTATTTCTTTCTTTACAAATAATTTAATTACATTATTAACATGATATTACATATAACTTTTTTTTAAAAAGATTTATTCGCCAAAGAAAGCTAAGATAATATATATACTCCTATATTTTTCATGTATGGTTTTTTAGCAAAAAAATAAATAAATTAAAAACAAAGAACTGAAGGGAGCTAACCCACAAAAACATATATTCGACTCACCAGGCCCACTTCTCCAACCAAAAAATCAACATCACAAAATTGCTTGCTCTCCAGGAGTCTGCCATAGTCATCATGCAAAGTGCATTTTGGATAGCTAGAAAACTGTAGAGTTAAAAAAGCACTTGAATTTTAGCCAGAAACTTTGGGATTGAGAAAAATTTAAAACTTGGAAAAAGGCAGAGCAATAAACAAAACAAACATTTAAAAAAAAACAAAGAAATCTAGTATTAACAAGTGAAAAAAAAAGGACTTTTACAAATTTGATTTGACGACAAAAATTAAATATTGCTGAAGTACCTGAAACCTGTATATTTCTCCACTTCTGACGTTGTTGTCAATGGTCCCCCCAAAAATGTACATGGCATCCCCCACAACACCTGCTGCATGGAACAGCCTACCTGCTGGTATCTGGAGGTTAAAAGGTCACAACTTAATTGTCTGAAGGTTAAAAGGTCACAACTTTATTGAAGGTTTTTGCAAGGGTTACATATCCCTCAGCCATAATGATATAGAATAATGTAATGTAAGAATAATTTATCCATCTCAGGATTTAACAGTTGAGCGCTAAAAATGTCTTACATCAATTTGATGATGCTGAATTAAAATATAAAATAATGTAATGTAAGAATAATTTATCCATCTCAGGATTTAACAGTTGAGTGCTAAAAATGTCTTACATCACTTTGATGAGCTGGCTCTGTGATAGACCAGGTTTGTGAGTCCAAGTCAAAGCTGGGGGAACAGAACCAAAATTATTTGATGATAGCAGGTGTGACATTAAAAAATAGGAATCAGTGTGTTTGTACATCTTTAAAACATGAATGATGAATAGCAATAAAATATAAAGAAAACATCAATAAGCAAACAGTATGTTAGTTTCTTCTTTGTATATAGTTCCATGTGGTCATTTTATGACATAGTTCCATGTAGTTAATTAAATAGACAACATAGAGTTAACTAATGCTAAGTTGTTACATATAGTTTCATGTAGCTGTTCTATCAAATAGAGTTCAGTTTAGTTAATTAGCTACACAATAAAAAATCCAATGAACAAACAACACAATCAAAAGTGGAATAATAAAAAAATTACCAGTGTAATTCGTTAGGCAAGGTTTGACCTGTCGCCCCTCCAAAGACATAGAGATGCCTGTCAAATGAAACCATGGTGTGACCGTATCTTTTTTCTGGTGGGGGAGGTGTGTCTCGCAGGACAAGTTCTGTAGAGATTCTAGTCCACCTATGTTGGACAAATCAGGTGTTAAACATTCAATTTTTCTCATTAAATTGTGTATAAATTCTAAAATTAGTTCTGTAGAGATTCTAGTCCACCTGTGTTGGACAAATCAGGTGTTAAACATTTAATTTTTCTCATTAAATTGTGCATACAATCTAAAATTAGTTCTGTAGAGATTCTAGTCCACCTGTGTTGGACAAATCAGGTATTAAACATACAATTTTTTAATTTTTGTGATTAAATTGTGTATAAATTCTAAAATTAGTTTTCAAAAAGACTAAGTTTTACGGTTTTGTCAATGTTTGTCAATATATTTGCATAATTTTTAAATGACGGATTTATGCTTAAATGCCAGTAAATTAGGCTGATACCCCTGTACCCATCCAGCTATGATTATATGGTTTAGTCAGAGAAAGAGACTTCAAATGACTACTGTACAGACTAATTCAAACAACTGTCTCTTGGGAAAACGTAAATTATCTTACTTATTCACTTAAAAGGTTAACATAATATTGCATTGACTTACTGTTTATCATCAAAACGAAACTGGAACAAGTTATTTGTAATCTTGGCGCCACTTTGTCCTGAGAACACATACATGCAGTCCCTAGCCACAGCCAGAGCAAAGTTGCAGCAGGTAGGGGGGATGTCACCACTCTGATGGACCTAATCAATAGACACAAAGTTAAGACACAAAAAAACCCCCCAATTACTATATTTAACAAGACTTACTACCCTTAAATACTAATTTGGTTTTTTAAAAAACATTTTTACAAATTTATTTTCAGATGCTTGTAGTAGTCGAATGGTAGAGCATACAAATGAGTCTCGAGATCAAATCAGGGTTCAAGTCAGTAGAACGTCCCTGAGTCAACCCAGCTTTGATGGGTACCTAACTCCTGTTAGGGAAAGTAAGGCGGCTGGTCACAGTGCTAACACACTATTCCTTCATATGCCGAGGTCATAGAAACAGGTGAACTCTACTTCGCTTGAAGAATGGACCGTAATCTTTTAGACTTTAAGGTAATTTAAGCAGGTACTTTGATACACCCTAAATTTGGACATCGCTATTGATTACACCAAAAAACAACAACAACAAGCTACCTCTTCCCAGCCCTTCATATCACCAAGCAAGGAGATTGTCCACATGTCATTGAGCCTGGCATTGCCATCATAGCCTGCAAATATCCAAAGCTTCCCATCATACACTGCTGCACCATGTGCTGCCCTGGCAACAGGAAGACGCTGGGTCCTGGCCACTGTGCGACTGTTGACCTTATTGGGTACAGGACCTTGAAGATCATCTCTACAAAGAACAAAGCATAAACTCAATTGTATTATAAATAACGAAGATAATGACTAGATTTGTATTAATTTATAACACAGAAAAAAAAATATCTGTAAGCTAACAAATATAAAAACACTAAAGACATCTATTACTTTTAACAAAGTAACTTCCCGAATTAATAGACCTAGCGCAAAAAGTAGAATGCATCCAGCAGATAGACAATAGTAAAACAACAAAAACACAATTTTAAATATTTATCAATTGATTAGGAAAATGGTTACAATTTTGAAAAAAAAAAGGGAATAAAGGGTGTCAACACACTATCTCCAACAATATTGTATTTTTTATTTGAAGCCACTCAACTCACACTACTATTCTATTATTTTACTCGATAAAACATTTAGACATTGTTTTTTTCAAACGGTGTCACCAGGAGTGAAACCCTCCTTTTGATGCTGAGGATTATTATTAAGGAAACAAAAAAATAAAATATCTTCAAACAAGTAAAATCCTATTTCATTGACTATCAACAAAACTCATCTATTGTAAAAGTAAATGGCTGTTCAAGGTTTGTACAATCAGTGTAAGAGTGAGCCAATCAGTTTTCTATACAAGAATGATAAAAAAAAAAGGTCGGCAGCACTAAAAAAAGAGAATTCCTTACCTAGAGTCAAACTTCCACTCCAGCCATTGGCCAGTGTTAAATTTGTACTCAAACAGGTCATTCTTATTGGTCAGGTTACAGTTGGAATGGATGTCCCCTGTGTAGCCACCTGTCAACAAAACATACAAGTTAGTTATACAACTTCTACAAGTTGCAGTTGGAATGAATGTCCCCTGTGTGGAATGGATGTCCCCTGTGTAGCCACCTGTCAATAAAACATACAACAAGGTATACAACTCGTACAAGTTGCAGTTGGAATGAATGTCCCCTGTGTGGAATGGATGTCCCCTGTGTAGCCACCTGTCAACAAAACATACAACAAGTTTTACAACTTCTACAAGTTGCAGGTGGAATGGATATCCCTTGTCAACAAAACATACAACAAGTTAAATAACCATTTTTACTTTCCCTAATGTAAGACAGGTACCCATCTGATTTGGGACGTGCTATGACTCTAAACAGGGATTTAAACTTGAGACTTTCGTGTTAGTAGACAAAAACCTTTCCATTCTACCATGCCAGCAGAATGTTAGAAGAAAAATGTGCACTTGTACAGGTGTTAAGAACTTTCTGTCGACTCCAGCCAACCATTATCGACACCGCCTAGCAGTTTGGTAAACAAAACGCAAAGAAAAACAATTCCAACAACTCACCAAAAACAAACATGCTACTCTCATGAACAACAGCGGAATGGTGATAGCGTGGAGCTGGAGGCTTCCCGGTGGTGAAGGCGCGCCCCCAAGACTTGTCCTTCACATCAAACCTCAGCAGGTCATTCAACATGTTTTTCCTAGGATTGTGTTCAACAAATTATTGTTATCAGAAATATAATTCAAATCTAATAATTTTTTATTTAAACTGTATATATAGGTAATGCAGAGGAACTCTTTTATGAATTAAAATCTTGTTATATTTAGTACCACAAAAAATGTTTTCAACTAAAAATATAGCAAAATTTTATACAATTTATTAAACTCAGGATGTGATGTCAGTAGCATAAAATAAGTGATAAAAAAGTGAGGTACCCGTTATCCCCTCCAAATACATAGAGCGCCTCCTTGTAAGCAACAACTGTATGTTTACTTCGCCTGAAATTTGAAAAAGGCATATGTGTTTTTTAAATTTATTTGGACCCATATGAAAATAAATATAAATTAAACAAAATACTAGGATAAAAAAAAATATGAAAAGAAAGTTGTATAAAGACAGTAAAAATATAATAATTGACTAATTTGATACACACCTAACGGCTACTAATTAGCAACAGTAAAGTGAATCAAATGAAAAATGTCTTTATCGTTTACTTTAAGGAATAAAATAAAAAAATTATATCAGCTAACCTGGCGCCAACAAATTCATCACATTCAGGCATTGGTTTCCACATATGAACTGTCTCAAAGGGACCAAAATCTAACGTCAAACATTCTGTACTCTCTGGCCAGTTGTGGTCAAAGTCCATACCAGGTGGGCGAGCGATAGCCATGGCTAGAACTTCTGGTTTAGTATTTATTGGAACTTATTACACCAACTGAATAGAGGATTAATTGATTAATATAAAACAATGGATTGATAATGGCTTGAAAATTTTTTTTTTTACACATTTGACAAGTAAACAATCAAATACAAAAACATATCTTAGAAAATATACATAGGTAAATATTTAAACACAACACAAGCTGTTAGTGATATAAAAAATTCTAGCCTATATATTAACACCAATCAGAGTAATGATCCTTGAGTTTAAATCCAGCCTCAAAACTGTTAATCCACACAGCCTTACAATCTATGAATGACTTCTGCATCTAGAGCTAGCAATTAACTAGACCCAACAATAGCTTGTTGTACTTATGCTTACACAAGAAAATTATCACATTTTTAAAAATAAGCTGAAATACAAGAATAAACATCCGGAAATTAATGTAATTCAGAAGTGTATGATAAAAGTTAATTAACAAAAAATGCATAGGGCCTAAAGAAAGTTTTTAGAAAGTATTTTTATATAAAATTTATCCTAGGTTTTATGACTACCATCCCCCAACAAAATAGATAAAATATATAATTTTGGTTAGGCCTAGATTAATTATTAGTGTTTGCCCCCCTACACCCCCTCCTCCCTTTGAGAAAACTGTCTGAAAGAAATACTGGATGAAGCAAATAGGAGCAATACTTTGAAAATTTCACTCAGGAAAGCAACACTAACACTTTAACTTATCTTCAAACAGTCAAGCAGTTTCTGTCAGGGTATCTTACTTATAAGCTTAGTATTTTACTATAGCCTAATTATTTAAATGTGTTAGTCTTAGTAACTCTTAAATCTTAGTAATACAGTTAGACTCTCTACACATGACTTTGCAATTACTAGATTTAGAATATTAGATCTAATCTAAATATATTTTTTTCTATAGTCTAAACCTAGTGTGTATGTTGGCTAGTTCTTGGCTCAAATCTCATTACTACATTACGATTATTTTGAAATTTCCTTATCTTTTTCAGGCACTAATCACTCAACTGAAACTCACCGCTCATTAGATCAAGAATCTACACTTAGTATTTTACTATTGTATAGAGTATAGTCTATAGCCTAAATTATTTACATGCATTCACATTACTATAGGCCTACTATTATACTACTATACTATAGGCCTATACTATATATTATAGATTCTATACCATATAGACGTCTAGGCCTACTATTATATACTATATAGTAGTATATAGTAATACTAAATGTTAGGCCTACTAAATAAATAGTAATAAAACTAAAAGTCTTAATGACTACAACCCATTCAAAATTGCAGTTGAACTTTTCTTAATATACAATATTTTTCCGAAACCTTGTCTGAACTCTGTCAAGATAGAGTATTTTAATCAACGAGCTGACCCGTGACATAGTATACGCCACCATCTAGTTGTTTAATTTTCTGCTTATCAGCAATTCATAATTTTTTAATTCAAAGAAAAAAATCAATCAGAAATTGTTACCCCCCCTTCGTTTCAAATCGTTTAATACTAAATTATCTGCCCCTAATAGCCGTCACTAACCCGGCTCTAGGATTGTAAACATTCGGGGTGAACCTGACCGGTGGGGATGAGGGTGGTGGCTAAGCTGCGTGGTGTTTTCTATGGTCTTCATGAAGAGAATTATATATAGGCCCTACCTATCACAATTTATTTAGTTTTCAAAAACGCGAAATAACTGCTAATATTCATTTTCTAACATTGCTTTAGGCTGTGGCTATTCGTACTTTACTACAAATAGCCCTATGAAGGCTATTTGTACTCTGACCAATCAGCGTGAGGCATTTTTTCAGTGATTCTTGAATTCCCTTTTTCATGCTGTATAGACCTAGAGCTAATTATTTTTTTAGATGTAATCTTATCACTCACCTTAACCCTATGCCTAACCCTAACCTTAACCCTTATCCTTAAGTAAAATTAAAAAAAAAAAAAGCAAAAATGAAAAAAAAAATCTCTGAGCCAAAGGGAATAGAACCCACGCCTCAAAAACAATCTAGCCAATGCACAACCACTTCGACCACCGGAGCAGGTACATCAACATTCAAAATTGGCATGTCATACACCAATGAATTTAAAAATAAATTTGATTGGTCGGCTAAAAATAGCGAAGTACGAATAGCCTTCTGAGGGCTATTTGTAGTAAAGTACCAATAGACACTCCCGGTACTCTCTTGCTTTTTTAATAATGCAAGTGTGACGTCACACCAAATTACGGACCCCCCTCCCCCTACAAGTGTGATGTCATTTATGCAAGACCCCTAACTTAAATCCTTAGTTGATTAAATTACTAGATTTAGAATACTATAGGCTCGCGAGCCGCATGCGGCTCTTTTGATATCAAGATGCGGCTCTCCAGCTCCTTGAACAAATACTAATAATCTTAATAAAAAAAAAATATTTGAAATAAAAAAAATGTTAGTGGCTCTTTAAAACCAGGGAAATTTGGAAAATTGTAACTTTTGGCTCTTCCGCTTCAAAAGGTTGCCGACCCCTGCTATAGGCCCCTATTTAATATTTAGGCGTATAGATTAATAATATAGTATATAGATAGACGCTAGAATACTCTAGATCTAGATTCTAATCTAGATCTATCGCTAGTGGTCTAGCTAAATCTAAAATAATCTAAATTAAAATAATTCAGTTTTTCCCTTTTTCTTTTTCAAGCACTGGCAGCACTGATCACTCAACAACACAACTGAAACTCACGGTTCATTAGAATAGATCTAGTGTTCTAGAATCTAATACTCAGCTAGACTAGTAGTAGATCTAGATCTAGTAACCCACTCAGAATTTATTTTTGCCTTTTTTCAGTTATTAATTTTCTAAGGTCTTAGAAAATACTTAACTACACTAGTCTAAACACACAATGCTTACTAAGTAAATACTAAATACCTAGACTCTAAATAATTTCCCGGAAGTTCGTTTTCCGCATTATTGGTGCTAGAAAAGTCTATAGTTTTAAGAGTTAAGAATAAGTCAAACTTTCTTGGCCTTGGCCCTTTGATAGTTTCAAATTAAATATTGTTTGATCATTCAAAAGCCAAAACAGATTTATTTTATAGATAAAAAATCCACATTTTATTATATAGGTTGGTGTATATATTTATACAGTAAAATAATAGACCTACTGATTAAGCGATAATCCATCACCACCCCGTTGCCACTCCAAATCCAATATTATTATATAACATTGGTGTTGGTGCAAATAGATTCTAGTTCTATGTAAGAATTTGAATGAAGTTATGGTTACCCAATTTATTTAATCACAATAATTTATTTCTACAAATAAACACAACATTCTTTTTATTTTTCTATATTCAAAATCTAAATAAAAATAAAACCGATCGTGGATGCGCATTTACTTTGTAAAGGGAAGTAATAATACTTCAATTTGGATTACTAAAGGAAACAACTCCAGTTATTAGTAAATAAATCATATAATATTAAAATATAAATAGTTATTGAAAATAAAACTAGTTATTAAAAATTTTTTTTATTTAAAATAATAAATTTATTTAAAATAAAACATAAATTATTTTTTAACTATCGTTTTGAATTAAAATTTACAAAAAAACATAAATTTATACACTTTAATTTTTTATAATTAACTTTCCAAAATGAAGGATCAAATCTGAGAATCAAGCATACTTACCTGGCACAGGAGGCACCTTGATCAGCAAGGAGGTCCTCCCAGGGCGAGGCCTGCACATTGCACTTCGTGTGGGTTGACCCCTGCGATCACCCCAAATGTGGGTGACTCGGGTGCGTAATTTTTTCGTAGGGGGGACTGCGTTCGCGCTATCCCCTGAATAAATGAAATGTAATGAGTGCCTTAGTTATTTAAAACCCGCAACGAAAATTGCGGAAACAATTTCAGAACTACCCACTCCCAGCCGAAAGAATTAGTTTCAATAGAGAATATATACTGGCGGCGTCCGCACCCCCCCTCTCTCGGAGGAAAGAGTTCAAAAGAAACACTGACAAATTTACAATGTGCAGAGCAAAATATTTTTTACAACAATTTATTTTAGGAAAGAAATTTGTGACGCCAAATTTGGGGGGGGGGGGGGAGGAGGAAAGAGATACTATACTGGCTTTATGTGACCATACGGGGTGTGGAGGGGCAAATGCAGTTTACATTGCACGAGCTCATTTTTAAAAATCCCCCTCCCTTCCCCCCAAGCGCCAAAATGGATGCAAAAATCCACCAGGGTACTCGAATATATTTCCATTCAACCTTTCCTTACTCAGTTACTGTTACATGGACAAAAAAAAATATCAAGGGACGTAATAGTCTTTGTTTCTCTAATGCTTTAATTATGCAGTTACTTTTCTTGAGCATAGCATCTCTAACATTTAGGCCTAAACATGTAATTAATAAAAAGTTAAATGTAAGAAGTATGAATAACGTCAAGCATTTGAGTGCACTAAAAATGAGCCGATACTAGATTCTATAGACATTTTCTTACTTTAGATATATGTAAAATAATTGCGCGGACAGACAGACAGACAGACGGACAGACGGACGGACGGACGGACAGACGGACAGAAAGATAGACAGACGGACAGACAGACGGACAGACAGACAGACAGACAGACAGACAGACAGACAGACAGACAGACAGACAGACAGACAGACAGACAGACAGACAGACAGACAGACAGACAGACAGACAGACAGACAGACAGACAGACAGACAGTCAGACAGACAGACAGACAGACAGACAGACAGACAGACAGACAGACAGACAGACAGACAGACAGACAGACAGACAGACAGACAGACAGACAGACAGACAGACAGACAGACAGACAGACAGACAGACAGACAGACAGACAGACAGACAGACAGACAGACAGACAGACAGACAGACAGACAGACAGACAGACAGACAGACAGACAGACAGACAGACAGACAGACAGACAGACAGACAGACAGACAGACAGACAGACAGACAGACAGACAGACAGACAGACAGACAGACAGACAG